GTGTATTAGTGGTCATATATTGTACAACCACAGTCATAAAGTTTTCAATCAGTAGTTTTATTTCAGTATGTATTTTTCCAGTATCACAAAAAATGTAATTTTATATGGTTAAAACCATCTAGCTTATGTGCACTTTTTAAAACACTGCCCAGCAAACATTCGGACGTTTAATGACAGTTGAACGGTCACAACTGTAAAATACCTGAAATTAAGAAAAATTAACATGACATCTACTGCATTTTCCTTGCCCGGCCTCGAACCTGGATCCTCCGGGGCGAGAGTCACCCGCTCTTCCAACTGAGCTATGCCAGCAACTACTTGACTAGCAGACTTTTTTATATAGATAGGTAGAGGGTAAAGTGCGGGGTACACTAACCAATCAGAGGACAGAGGAGATCTGCCACAGGCCACGCCTCCAGAGTGCCAAAACCCTTACAGCCGAGCGAGCAGGAGTCAGAAACCGAGCGCGCAGAGAGGCTGCCGAGCGCGCACAGAGGCTGCCGCGCGCGCACGCTTTCCTCTGCCGTGTGCTCGTTGACAACGCGCGCACGCAGGTTTGTCACTTGTGCACATCCTTGTGCGCTCACAGACACAGTTTGCTCCCTCTCAGTGCACAAATGACCTCTCGCCATGTATATTTCCGCTCGCGAGTCCCGTTCACACGCGCGCTGCCATGTATATTTTCGCTCGCGAGTCCCGTTCACACGCGCGCTGTGGACCCAATGCGCGTGCACGGGTTTTGACACGGGTATGACGCGATAGATTTCCCTGTTTTATGTTCCCACACACAGCGCTGCTAGAGCCGATAATAATGGCACCGTAGGTGAGCCCGGGTCGAGAGACTCCTCCCACATCAGCAGGTTCAGGCTGAATTCTAAAGCGTGGTTTACGCTTCATCAGCGAGAGTGCGGAGTCACACACTTTAGTTGACTTGAAAGCTCAGCTTCTCTTTTAAAAACGGTTTGATTGTTTCTGACGGCACACGTTAGCTCAAACAAGCTAAGGTGTTGGAATGTGTGCGTCTCTCACGGAGCTGACGTTTTAGTCGGGAAAATCTATCAGCCGGCTTCAGCCTGCCGCCGTAATGCAGGAAAACTGTGCATTTAGTTATTTAATACATTTAGAAGCTGTTTCTACCTACAGATTTCCTCCATGCATTTTTGGAGTAGAACATGTGTTTATAAAGCTCCTCTCTAGATAAACATCACAAGTTGCTTCACAAACACATAAAAAAACGATAATAATGGGAGAAAATATGAATAGCTTTAACTGTTTTTATTGTATGATTAAATAGTAGATATTAATGTGAATGATGTGTTGCGCTAGATTATAATCTAGACCATCTTTAATCTGCAGGATGGCTTGGCAGGCTGGTGTTGGACCTTCGGTTGCAGAAAATCGTGAATTGAACCGAAATCTCCATTTCTGCTAGAAAAACTGCAATTCAGTCTTTTCCTGAAATCGTTCAGCCCTAGTTTACACCGCACTTCAGATTACCCTAATCATAAACGCAGATTATTTAATACAGGCACAAGAAACTATCGAGGATTTTAATTATCTTTAGATAAAAAAAAAAAAAAATGTTTTCATGCCTCTAGAATTAAATAAAACCACCAGGCACTGAACGGATAAACGGAGTAGGAAGTGACGCCACCATCAGCGTCAGCTCTGAGGAAGTTTACAGCTACAAACGAAACATCAGCAAGGTAAAAACGAACCTTTTCTGTGTTTTAAAGAAGAACCAACAATGCAGTTAGAAAAGCAACACAGCAAGAACGTACCAAAGACCACCAGGCACTGTTTGTTTTATTGTCCGGGTTTGCTTCCTTCATGACTGCTGGTGGGTTGAGCTCTTTTTAATGGTTTAACTGGAGGAACTGGAAAAAGTTTCTAGCCGTTACCTTGACTCCATGTTCCGTGTAGAAGTCAGCCGTTCCCATACTGGCGTAAAGGTCGTATCCCAGAGACTCCAGAGCCTGAACGGTCGGCAGCAGCTCGCTCTTGTTCTGCATGAACATAAACCAGAGGATTGACGTGGATTATCTACAACAAGAGAGTAACTTTGGTTTCAGTGGAATCCACCATCTGGGTTGCTGTACCTTATAGCTGCCGATGGAGAGCAGGATGTTCCTCTTGGGGATCTTGAAGCCGGTGGAGAGCATGGCCTTCAGGTAAGCCTCATATCTGTTCTCCCCAAAGCAGGCCACCTCTCCGGTGCTGGTCATCTCCACCCCGAGCACCACATCAGCTCCGGCCAGCCGAGAGAAGGAGAACTGGGGCACCTGTGGGGCAGGTGAAGAGTGGTCCATTATAAAAAAAAAAAAAAAAAAAAAGAGTGAGGGAGCGAGTGAAAGGTGGAACAGCAGGTGAAAAAAAAATCAACTTACCTTCACTCCCACAATCCCCTTCCCACTCATTAGACCCACCGACTCCACCTCTACCCCCATGATGACCCGCGTTGCCAAGGCAACAAGGTCCACTCCCAGAGTCTTGGATACAAAAGGGAAGGAGCGGGAAACTCGGACGTTGCATTCGATCACCTTCAGCTGGTCGTCCTGCAGAGAAAAACGACAAAACTCATCTTCAGGCATTCTCATTCACACCTGTAGCCTCTCAGCGGTTCTCACCTTGGCTATCAGCTGCAGGTTAAAGGGTCCGGTGACCTGCAGCTCCTGGCCAATGGCGTGAACTATCATCATGATGCTCTCGATGGTTTTCTGGTTGAGGTCCTGAGGCGGCGTCACCAGCGTGGCGTCACCAGAATGCACGCCGGCGTTCTCCACATGTTCAGAAATGGCAATGGCTATCACTGCGCCGTCACAGGCGACTACGTCTACGTCAATCTCCTGGTGATAAAACAAATAAATAAAAATTATTACCGATTTCTTCGTCATGAGCAGAGTAAGCCCAGGTAATCTGATGTTGGAACCCACCTTGGCCTCTTGTATGAACTTGGAAATGACCACAGGATGTTCTTTGGACACAGCCACTGCGCTACTCAGGTATTTTTCTAGGTCGCTGTCGCCATAGGCAACGTTCATCGCCGCTCCGCTGAGAACGTAGGAGGGGCGAACCAGGCAGGGATACCCCACCATCTCACAGAACTTCACAGCAGACTAAAAAAAAAAAAAACCCGAGTTCAAACTGAACTAAAACCAGAGTAAAAATTATTCTCTGCATCCTACGAACGACGTAAACAGGTTTAATGTACGCCAGCACCTCTGTGTCAGAGAGCTCCTTCCACTGAGGCTGGCTGATGCCGATGGTGTCCAGCATTCTGGAGAACTTGAACCTGTTCTCAGCGCTGTCGATGAATTCCGGCGACGTTCCCAGGATGCGACACTGCTGGCGGTGCAGCGACATGGCGATGTTGTTGGGCAGCTGGCCTCCCATCGAGAGGATCACCCCCTCGGGGTTTTCCCTCTCGTAGATATCCATCACCACCTGGAACGAGCACAAAGACACTGTCATCCCCGGAGCGTCTCCACTTCAAAAACACAAAAACGTACAAAAATCACCTCAAAGGAGATCTCGTCGAAGTAGAGGCGGTCGCACATGTCGTAGTCTGTGCTGACCGTCTCCGGGTTGTAGTTCACCATAATGGTCTTATAGCCCATCTGTAACGGAAGCGACATCACTATGGATCCACTTTGGTGATTTTACAGGACTAAAGGATGCTTTCATCTCCTGCTACCTTCCTGAGCTCCGTGATGCAGCCGACGGCGCACCAGTCGAACTCCACGCTGCTGCCGATCCGGTACACGCCCGAGCCGATCACCATGACGTGCTGCTCGTCGAAGCTCAGGTCGTTCTCGGTGCCGTGGTAAGTCAGGTAGAGGTAGTTGGTGTGGGCGGGCCACTCGGCCGCCACGGTGTCAATCTGCTTCACAACAGGCAGGATGGACCAATCATGACGCAGCTTCCTGACCACCAACTCGGTGCTGGGAAAAGACAAGAGTTTGTTTCTAGATCCGATGCAGGAGTGAATGAGTTTTCGGTTCAGCATCACACACACCTCTGCACAGCCAGAGCGATCTGCTTGTCTGAGAAGCCCAGCTGCTTGGCCTTACGCATCACCTCAGGAGGCATGGCGGTCTCGTCCTGGACCGACAAGCTTCATGAGGATTTGTAAAATACGTCAACGTCAACGTGCCTAATAAGCGCTACCTGGTTGTAGGTCTCCAGCAGCCGCTCGTGGTCCGTGATGTTTTTCATCTTATGCAGGAACCAGCGGTCGATCTTTGTGAGCTCGTACAGCTGATCCACGGTGTAGCCGGCTCTGAACGCAGACGCCAAAACAAAGATGCGCTTATCGGTGGGAGTCTGCAGCTCCTGTGGAGCGGCGGGATGGGGAAAAGACGGATTTATTTTTCTACTCTTTGAAGAAATAAAAGAAAACGGAGCAGACACAAACCTTTTCAGAAACGGGTTTGATGGTGTGGTCAAAGCCAACACAGTTCTCGTCCACCATCCTCAGAGCTTTCTGAAAGGCCTCCTCAAAGCTCCGACCGATGGCCATCACCTCTCCTGTTACACAAAACGTCGGATAAAAACATAAACCTCGTGAAACAAGACAGTTTCTTAAGTGTAAGTTAAGGCTGGGCGATATGGACCAAAACTTATATCTTGATATCTTTTAGCTGAATTCCGATATACAATACATGTCTCGATATTTTTCCTCCTGTAAAATATTTACAAGTTAACTCACTTCAAGCCATCTAGAGAAATTATAAACATAAACCAGTAGATTAAATGCATAAAAATGTGTTGATTCTTGTCAAACTTTAACCTTAGTGCCTATTCTCTACCAGTCTGAGCTTTAGAAACACTGGTTCAGCCACACACACACACACACACACACACACACACACACACACACACACACACACACACACACACACACACACACACACACACACACACACACACACACACACACACACACACACACACACACACACAGAGTTGAGAGCTAGAGGTGTAACAAATGGCCCACAGGCACTTTTAAATTATATATTTATAATTAATATAAAACTATTTAAATTTCATCTAGAGGTGGCCATATCGTTTATTTCTTGTCCAGAGAAAATAAATCTGTCATGTTAAACTAAATGCATGACGATGTAATTGCATCTACTGAAGGTCACACGGGTCATGCACCGTGGAGTTATTAGTCAGGGCAAACATGGCTGGAGTCTAACAGTGTTGGCTCATATCAGCGATTCTACTGTAATGACTCAGAGTCTCTGGTTGCTCTTTCATGAGTATTCTACTGTCGCCGTAACCCACGCCTTACAAACTCTTAACTTTTTCAACAGAATCACTCGTAACGGAGTATTTACTAGCATAGCAAACCAGAGCGGAAAAAACCGGAACAACATTTCTCACCCGTTGAGCTCACCTTCAAAATAAAACGCTAACCCTATTGTTTACTATCCAAACCCTTACAATAGGTTTGAGATCATTTGAGGTCCTCGCCTCTGTCAGTGCGCCCCAGGGCAGCTGTGGCTACATCGTAGCTCATTACCATCAGTGTATGAATGTGTGTGTGAATGGATGAATGATACACTGTAGTGTAAAGAGCTCTGGAGTCCTTACTCTGAGAGGCGCTATACAAGTGCGGGTCATTTATCATTTTATCATTTGGCCACTCCGGCTAACCGTTGATGTTTCCTCATTACACAGGGGAGGGGAGGGAGGGGTTTGGCTCGTCTCTCTGGCTCCGCACACGCAGGATGAAAAAACAGAACTCCGTTGGCGTTAAACATCCCCAAATAATTAAAAACCAGAACACTAAAGGCAAAGTTTAGAGCAGCACATTTACCCAGAGGCTCTCAGATTGAGCAAACTTGTGAAAATACAAGTAATAACCGCTTAGAGATGGAGCAACATGTCGCTAGCATAGCGGCTAATAGCTAGCATAGCAGTTTGACCAGTTATATCGATATAAAATCATCTCGTTTAAAAATTATACTGATATTTTAAAAATACCGATATATGGCCCAGCCCTAGTATAAATACTTTGTTTTCTCTTACCGACGCTCTTCATGGAGCTGCCGATCTTGGTGGAAACTCTGAGGAACTTGCTGAGATCCCAGCGAGGAACCTTCACCACACAGTAATCCAAACTGGGCTCGAAGTTTGCCGTTGTTGAGTTGGTGACAGAATTTCTAAAGAATAAACGGGAAAACGGTGAATTTTACTAATAACAATCATCACTAAGGTGAAGAAGGTATCCAACTAAAAGCAAAAAGAGGATTTTGAGAGACGTACTTGAGTTGAGGCAGCGGAATCCCCAGACCCAGTTTAGCTGCGACGTAAGCCAGAGGATAGCCGGTAGCTTTGCTGGCCAGCGCAGAGCTCCGCGACAGACGGGCGTTCACCTCGATGATGTAATACTGCAAAAACGTGAAGAAAAGTGTGTTCAGGAAGTAGAAAACTGATTTACTCAGGACTGTTTTTCATCTCGGGTCTTCGTACCTGATCAGACTCGGGGTTCAGAGCGTACTGGATGTTACACTCCCCCACGATGCCCAGGTGTCGGATCACTTTAATGGCCGTGTTCCTCAGCATGTTGTACTCATAGTCGTTTAGCGTCTGACTCGGCGCCACCACGATGGACTCCCCCGTGTGGATGCCCAGAGGGTCGATATTCTCCATGTTGCAAACCTAAAAGACAACACACACCTGAGTAACAGACGAGTCTGGGGTGATGAATCACTCGTTTGCTTTTGTCTTACGGTGACACAGTTGTCATAGGCATCCCGGACCACCTCGTACTCAATCTCCTTCCAGCCTTTGAGGGATTTGTCCACCAGGACCTGAGAGGTGTGCGCGAATGCCGAAGTTACCAGCGAGATGAGCTCTTCTCGGTTGTTGGCGAAGCCGGAGCCGAGCCCACCGAGAGCAAACGCTGACCGAACCAGGACAGGGTAGCCCAGACGCTCAGCAGCTGCTACGGCCTACAGAGGAGAATAAAGACGGGTCAAAACCCAGATGACCGGTGGTGCTAGCGGAGGGCTCATCTATTTACCTGCTCCACTGACAGCGCCGCTTCACTTGGAGCAACGTGTTCGTTGATTTCCTCCATTTTCTCCACAAAGATCTTCCTGTCTTCAGTCATCTCAATGGACGAAACCGGCGTTCCCAGAACTTTTACTCCGTACTTCTCCAGGACGCCCATCTTGGTCAGCTCCACTCCACAATTCAGAGCAGTCTGACCCCCGAAGGTGAGCAGAACGCCGTCCGGACGCTCGTTCTTTATCACCTGTTGCAACAAACGCGCAGATTTTCCTCCACAATGGGTTTTAAAATGTTTGTCATTTAGTAAAACTAGGGCTGCTCGATTATGGCAAAAATAATAATCACGATTATTGTGACTGAAATTGAGATCTCGATTACCGTATTTTACGGACTATAAGCCGCTACTTTTTTCCCACGCTTTGAACCATGCGGCTTATAATGAGGTGTGGCTTTACTGAAGATTTACTGACATCGCCACAGAAAAGGTATGTGACGAAGCTCTTCTGAGGCTGTTCAACTCAGTGAAGAAGAGGACTTTAATGGATTTAGTGCGCAGGAGGAAGATGAGAGCAAATGCCCTTTTCTGGTAGGCCAGTAGGGCTGCACGATATTAGGAAAACCTGCGATATTCGATAACAGTGCTTAATATTGCGATATCGATATTACTCACGATAAATGAACAAATACTAAAGTATGCAGTGTTGATGTCGTCTGGCGTGTGACGTCTGCTCTGGGTTCAAAGCAAACAAAAACTAATGCATGAATTCCATTACAACATAACATTTTTATTGCAAAAATATGCAGCTGCACCTGCTACTGTATAGACCCTTTTACTGTTTGTAAACAATATGACGTCATCGAGAATGCGCGCGCAGCTTGGCAACAGAGAATGGCGTTGTGTCAGGCTTTATCAAGCTACGCTGCGGGGTTATCACCGGCAAATCTTGAATGTTATATTAGTAAACTCACTTTAACGAATGGCAACAGACTCCCGGATCCCTGTGGCATTACGGAATGGGTGGAAGATGTAGGTGCGTGGCCAGATATCCAGTGGCCCGACATATATATACGTTTTTAGTGGAGAGGCCCAGTAAGTACACACCTGAGAAGCTACGTGCATACAAATCATTAGATACATACAACTATGTTGTCTGTGGCCACATAAAGAAAGTAAAATATCACGACATAGACTGTGAGTTTTGCGTCTTGAAGGCAGAAGTCCTTCCTAGCCAAAGACAAGGACACAAGACTGCTATGTACGAGGCTTGGGTCATAGTAAACAAACCAGAGAACTACGTACCTGCATGGCAGGGTGAGTATAGCATAGGTTTCTTTTTTTAGCGTGCTCAGAGTACAATCGAGTTAATTTTTAGAGAAATACAGTTTATACTAATATGCAGTGGGAAAATACAGATGAATTAGAATCAAATGTTAATTTCATTTGCAAACCAGCAAACGCAACTTACTTTATTTAATAGAACACACATTAACCACCTTTCTGGTGTAATCTTAGTACATAATTACCTTACCTGATATAAAATGGGCGCTACAAACTCGAGCATTTCGGATCGTGTTTTCAGTCCAGTTTTCATCAACCCTTTTGATGGCCTGCAGCCACAGACGCCTCCGATTTTGTTGAAATGGATGTGCTCCCTTTGGAATTCTGTAAAGTTTCAGTCCACTGCTTGAAGAGAAGCGATTCTGGCATCCATACACGCAACAACCCGACATTTTTATGTGCTCAGAACTTCAAAACAAAGGGTTTAAAACGCTGTTTTAGTATCGAGTGTGAATGAGGAAGCCTTCACTCTCGTCGCCAGGCTGCGCGCGCAACTTTTGATGACGTAGGTAGTAAAAGGGTCTATTAGCAGCAAAACAACAAAATGCATGCATGCAGGTTCTCAGTGACTTTAAAACATCACCTCCACCATAAAACTTTTTCTGATGCTCCAAATACAGAAAAACATCCCTTACCAGGGTTCTTGAATAAATAAAAAAATCAGAAAATAAGTTTAAATGTTAAATAATAGTTAACATCACTTAAATGCAACAGCAAATTATCTCATTGCTTCTGAACATTTTCTCCACTTATGTGGTTATGATATAAGGCTGTTGCTGTAATTGGGAAGTGAACTGTGCTGAGCCAAACTAGGAGAATATTAAGATTTTCTGAGGGAAAGAGAAAAACAATTGTCTACCTTTCAGAAGAGGAACTGGCAAAAAACTACATGGAAAATATGTGAAAACGTTTGTTTTTAACCCCAAATTGAACAAGTTTACCTAGATCTTAAAAAGCAGCTCAGATGATGAAACTGCAACTATGATTCTGATAACAAGCTAACAAATTGAACTAGCTCCTCTAAGATAACCGGCTAGCAGAGCTTCTGACTGAGTTTATGTGCAGCAGCAAATCAACTATCCTGATTAACAAGGTTATAAAAGCTCATAAAGGAAAAAACACTTTGATGTGTGGGGGAACTTTTCCAGGCCCTCTTTAGCGGGGTGGGACTGGGAGGAGAGTGCTGTAGCCTTTTAGCTGGAAGCTAACCGGAGCCTGGGGCTAACATCACCACCCGGTGGAACACTAGCAACATGAAGGTGGGTTGGTTCACCGGCACGTGTCGGAGTCAGCCCGGTTATTATCAGCTGCTTAACCACACCGAGCGGACTCACGTTCACGTTTGAAAGCAGCGCTGATTCCAGAAACCTCAGCACAAAGTGCGTTCGTTGCTCTGAGCCAGCATGACGAACAAGGGAACGGCGCCGCTAACTCAGTTCGAGTGTTGCGTTCCACCCATCCTGGGTCTATGTAGGGGGCGGGCGTATTACATGAACGGACCCATCTGATTGGTCGCATATCAGAAGGACTACATTTGATTGGTCAAATAATACTTCAACGTAAAAAACAGAGCTGGTTTACAAAAAGCTGATGTATGACACGGATGGAAATGTTTGAACCAAACATTTATCGCCGTTTTTGACGTGCTTTTCGATGGGCCTATCACACGTCCTGTTATCCCGATGACGATAATTTTCCGATATATTGTGCAGCCCTATAGGCCAGTGTGTTTTATTTACTAACCAGGCATGTTTTGTGTGCAGTTTTTATTTTCTAATCATCCAGGGCTTATTAATGCTGTGTCAGCGCTGTTCTTTTCTTCTAAACATGCAAATTACCAGTAATAACGTGTCAGTTCTATTTTTATTTCATAACCATCCAGAAATATGAAGGCTATCAGTGCTGTTTTCTTTTCTAAACTTGCAGGCATGTTCACCCGTGTTTAAAATTTGTTTTGTTGAATTAAAACAACGAAAAACCTCCGTGTAGCGTCTTTCTGTCTAATTATCTTATGTGATGGCCGTACATGCGCTGTGCGTCGGAGACCTGCATGTGGCTGCTGCGCCGCGGCTTGTATTTGAGTGCGGCGTGTGTGTGTAGAAAACCTTTTTTTTTGTTGGTGCGGCTTATATTGAAGTGCGCTCTATAGTCTGGAAATTATGGTATTTAAGACGATTTTTCAATTAATGTTGATTTTATTTGTTTTTATTCTGTCATAAAATTGCTCAGGGCACAATCAGGACAAAAATAAGAAACAAGATGATCACTAAAATAACTCCAGATTCCCATTATAAAAAGACCATTATACTTATAGCTCATAGTTTATGACCCAAGGGTTATAGACCTTGGTTTAACTTAAGTCTAACCAGTACAGACCCAAACACCAATATCTTGCAAATACTGACAGCAAGAATTATACAGCGGCATTTACAACAAATAAACGCAACTAAATTGATGTTCACAAAATGTTGCATAACATTTATTGAGTAGTGTCAAGGTGCTGTAGGAGAGTGCACTAGCACCGTGTCCTCAGAGAGATTAGTTATTATTTATCAGCGTGAGGAACTTATTTCTACCTTATTTATAAACTATTTATTTACAGGTCCATCAGTTAATGTAATAATTGTCCCAACCACAGCTGCACCCCCACCCCCAACCCGGTCTCACAGCAATCGGGCAAGCTGCACGTGTTTAGCGCGCCGCGCGCACACATTTAGCTGTTTTTAGCGGCTCAGGAGCCCGCTGGTGTGGTGTGTGTGTCACTCACTCTTGGGCCATTCCCATCTGTACCGGGTCGGCCCGGGCCGGGTAGCCCCAGTCGGCCCCAGCCTGGCCCGGTTGATTCCACACATCCTTGTCTTAAGCCCATGTGGGCTGATTCTACCCACCAATCAGAGGCTTGCTCTAATGGAAGGTGTGAATTTGCTGTCAGCAGTGGGTGTGTTGGCCCTGGTCGGCCTGAAGCAGACCCCCTCGAGAAGAGGGCTGAGAATGAGCCTTGGTTGGCCCGGAAAAATACCAGGCCACCCAGATATGTAAACAACCTACGCTACCCGGCCCGGGCCGACCCGGTACAGATGGGAATGGCCCATCTGGTTACTCCAACAGGGAGCCGGCTCTGAGAGACGATTGTTTAGAGACTGACACATCACTACATCATTCCCTTTACTAATGTCCAGAAGAACGGTCCGGAGCGCAGGCGGAGTGCTTAGCTAACCTGCAGGAAATGTCAATGACAGTTATCCAGAAAGTAGCTAAGGGTTACCAGAGATGTTTCTGAGGTGTTCGCTAGGTACTTTTAAGATTTAAAAAGTCAAGAAGGGGGTCTGAAAAGCTGTTAGAAATAGCGTCAAAGTCGCTAAGCTGGCAACACTGTGGGAGGAGCGCTTCATTTGCAACTCAGGGCAGCGCAAGTGGGAGGAGCAAAAAATCGGCTTGTTTTGTTTTTATAATCGTTCAAAACTCAGATCGTAATTGGGATTAAAATTCGATTAATTGAGCAGCCCTAAGTAAAACGCTTAAATAAAATCACTCACCTGAGCGACATATTCTGCTGTTATTGGCAGGAAGTAGACTTTGTCCGCGAGACCTTTGGAGGTCTGGACCGTGGCGATGTTGGGGTTGATCAACACTGTCTGGATATTCTCCTCCTTCAGAGCTTTAATGGCCTGAAAACAAAGAAGTGAGTTTAAATTTAATTCACAAACATGAACATCTTCAGTCTTAAATGTTGAAACTATTTACAGAAAAACCAGAGGAAACAAATTCCAAGTCGAAGCTAAAAATTTGGGCCCAGAGCTTCAAACTCCATTTTTTCAGTGTTTAAAAACAAACCTGGGAACCAGAGTAGTCAAACTCTCCAGCTTGGCCGATGGAGAGTCCACCAGAACCCAGGATGAGGACTTTCTTGGGTCTGATGACCTCCCCTGGCTTTGGAGATCCCGGGTAGGTGAGGTGGTCCATCAAACGCTGCTTTACTAAAACGAAAACATAAATTGATTAATCTATATAAATGTAGCACAGGGTCCTTTTAAGTCTATAGTTGGTTTATTGTTGCTGTGAGAAAGCCATACAAGGAAAGATTTAATTACCAGACTTCGCAGCGCTGCAGTCTTTGTGGTCTCTCACCGCGTCGAGGAAAACATCAAACAAGCTGACCAAATCTGTGGGTCCGGCCTTGTGCTCCGGGTGGAACTGAACGCTGAAGGATCAGCATCAAACCACTTGTTTTTGATCCAGATACGGCCCTTCTAGCAAACACAAAATGTCCCAAAGGCTTTTACCTGAAAAGGGGTTTGGTGTTGTGTACGATGCCCTCGCTGGTGTGATCGTTGGCGTTGGTGAACAACACGTCCCAGTCGAGTGGGAGGGTGTCGGGGTCGACGGCGAAGCCGTGGTTCTGGCTGGTGATGAAGCAGCGAGCTGTTCCGTTGTGGATGCATGGCTGGTTGTGACCTCGGTTACCGTACCTGAGAAACACCAAAAATGTATGAATAAACAAACACACACGTGGATTAGCATAAGACTGTTTTATTTAAATAACTCTTAAAGTTGGGTTTGTTTAAAGGTTGATTTCTAACTGTATGGCTTGTTTAAAAAACAACCCTAATCTGAAGCCTCTATCCTACACATGTAGATCAACATAAAACGTGACCCCCTACCGAGTATTACTCAACTCCCACTTCCTGTTTGAAAAATGCAACAAATGCTGTTGCCTAGCAGACCGAGAGGGCGGAGCCGCTAACAAATAGACCCACACACACACAACGACAATGTGACATCATATGGTACCAGCTAATGTTCTAGGGTACCTCTTAGCCAATAGCGATGGCAGATTTAAATTCAAATGCAGTGCAGAGTTTTTACCCGGCAACGGCACAACACTGACAGTTTTAAATACAGGGTTTATTTAGTTGTCTGAAAATGTAACACGTTTAAAAAAAATACCGCGATAATACCGAAAACCATGATAATTTTGGTCACAGGTCAAATTTCACACCGTGACAACCCTAGGAAGAATCAGGAAATTTATCGGCTAAGATATAAACAACATTCCTGCCGGCCAGTGGGAATTCTTGTCGTCCACGCTAACCTTCACACAGAACCCGATAAAGCTATCTTCAGTGGACTCGGCTGTGAGATTTGGGCCAGATGTGTTTCTGTGCAGACGTGTTTATCTGAGCCGGTCTGTGTCCAAATCTCCAGCGCTCATCCTGGAGATATCAGACTGCTGAGGACAGCAAAAAGCTGCTTTCACAGCCCAGACGTGTGAAATCAGGCGTTTCTAAAAAGGTGCAGAAGAGACTTTTGTCTCCTCCTACACGACCCGATTGGGCTACATTATATTCTGTTACTCACTTCATCTTGTACGTTTTCGCTCCTATCACCAGTGACAGCAGCTGATGTCCTAGGCAGATCCCAAAAACAGGTTTCGGTTGATCGACACAGACCACCTTCCTCACGTTGCTGATGGTGGCCTGGCAGAACTGGGGATCTCCGGGACCATTACTGATGAACAACCCATCAAAGTCTGGAGGAAACAAAATCAGGATAAAAGTTGTCTCTAGGGGCTAAAACATAGCTGGGAATTGTAGCCAATTATTTTCCTGTTCTATAATCTATCCAACATTTAGGTCATAAAGTAAAAAGTCCAGCATGTCTTCCATCGTCCAAATAATCCCTGGAAATGAGGGTGTGCATTACCGTTGCTGTCTAACGGATGGTCCCATGGTACAACCGTAACGCAGGCTCCTCGTTCAGCAAAGCAGCGGATCTGATTATACTTAATGCCGCAGTCAACCACCGTGATCCGTAAACTACCAGCAGGGTTGAAAATCTTTGGCTCCTGCAGAGAAACAAAGGAGAAAAAACTGGAACGTTATGGAAAAGCTCATCTAAATCCAATCTAAAGCCTTTATGAATGTTAAGTTCAGGTGCAACACTTGGTAGCTCAGATTATTTTTGTATTCATCTGAATAAAACACCTTCATGGACACCTCCTGGACCAGGTTCCTCTGATCCGGGTTATCAAAAGGAATGCTGTCCTCGGAGGTCCCATCTACAACCAGCTTCCCCAACATGGTGCCCTTCTCCCGGATCTTTTTGGTTAAACAGCGAGTGTCCACACCTGTAGAAGAGGAAAACCACAAGAAATGCTTGAAACCCGTCTTATTTACACAACAAATAATAAACTACTCACGTAGAAATATTTCTGCACAGATCTTGTGCAACTGCACAAAGCTAATCTGACCTTGTATTCCTGGAATGCCTTGCTCTTTGAGCCACTGGTCCAGTGACCTGACTGAACTCCAGTGACTGGGATTCTCTGATAGCTCTCCGATAATCAGAGCTGAGGCGTGGATCTTAGACGACTCAAACCACTGAACGGGACAACAGGAAGAGAACTCATCAGTATGTGGTGTCATAGTGAAGCTGTGGGTTTAAAAACGCCAGACACCCACTTTGCTGAGTCCAAAGTCTCCCTCTTCATCCTTAGGTACTCCATAGTTCCCAACCAGAGGGTAGGTGAGAGTCAGCAGCTGGCCGTGATAAGACGGATCAGTGAGAGCCTCTGGGTATCCCACCATGCCAGTCTGGAACACTAGACACACAAAACATTCCTCAAGAAAATACACAAAACAACTGAAACCATCACATCCATGGAGGCTGAGGGAGCCTCAGAGCACCTCCAGAGCTGAATATTTAAAACTTTCTTTAAAAAAAAAAACGTTGATGCCAGATTTATTCATTCTGCGCTTTTATTCTGACATTAACTCAGCACGAAACAATAACACTGGGGCCATAATTACCATACCATACCATACCATTTTATTTATAAAGCGCATTCAACATGGCATTACAACCAGACAAGGCGCTGTACATTAAAAGATTACAGTTAATTAACACGTACAGAATGACATTTAAAGCATAGTTTATAAGAAAAAAAATGAAAACAAGAAAATACTAGAACTAACAGTCGTAAAACACTAAAAACACAAAAGGAATGTGAAACAACAGATAAAAAAAACATATGAAAGAACCACAGTAATACAGATGTTAATTATAGTGCATTCTATTGTAGAAAGAATGCAGATGTCGAAAGTGGTCCATGACTATGTATTATATGCAAGGTTGAAGTAGTGAGTTTTCATGCGAGATTTAAAAATGCTAATTGTTGGTGCTTGCCTCACTAGTAGTGGTAATGCATTCCACAGCTTGGGAGCACAGACAGAGAAGGCCCTTTCTCCACGGCTTTTCAGACGTGCGTTTGGAAGAGCTAGGAGGAGCTTATCTTCAGACCTGAGAGCACGAGGCGGATTGTAGTAATGGACGAGTTGACACAGATATGGAGGAGCTTGACTGTTCAGGGATTTATAAGTGAGAAGCATGATTTTGAAATTGATCCTGAGATGAACGGGCAACCAGTGGAGAGATTTTAGAATTGGTGTAATGTGCTGTCTTCTGTCAACTCCAGTCAGGAACCTAGCTGCTGAATTCTGGACTAGCTGAAGTCTAGATTGAGCTGCTTTACTGATGCCGTATAAGCAGGAGTTGGAGTAATCCAGCCGTGAAGTGATGAAAGTGTGGACTACTGATTTGAGAAGACGGACACTCAGGATGTGCTTAAGTTTAGAGATACGCCTGAGGTGGTAAAAACATGATTTAACTGTGTTATTGACCTGAGCATCCATCTTCAGAGCCTGGTCTATTTTAACTCCAAGGTTGGAAATTACAGTGGAGACATTAGGTGAGAGATAGTTGAGGTCAGGTAGATGAGTAGCCGGGATGCTGTGAGGATTAAAAACGATTACTTCTGTTTTGGAGTCATTCAGATGGAGGAAGTTATCAGCAAGCCAAAGCTTAACATTATCGATACAATCAGACAGAACTTGCATTGATTGAGTTGGCTTGAATGAAAAGTAGATCTGACAGTCATCAGCGTAAAGATGGTATGAGACAGCGTGCCTTCTGAAAATGGCTCCTAAGGGCAGTATATAGAGGTTAAATAGTAACGGGCCGAGTATTGAACCTTGTGGGACACCCCAACGGAGTGGTTGTGACTCGGATGAACAGCCATCCAACATGACTCTAGCGGACCTGTTATAAAAGTATGACCTGAACCAATCTAGGGCTGAACCAGAAATGCCAGCCCAAGTCTGAAGTCTGGTGATCAAGATGTTATGATCGATCGTGTCAAATGCTGCTGATAGATCCAAAAGTAGCAGAACCACATGGAAACCTGAATCTAAAGCGAGAAAAATGTCATTAAACACCCGAACATGAGCAGTTTCAGTGCTGTGCTGTTTTCTGAAACCAGATTGAAAAATGTCCATTACCTGATTGTCATTTAGATGTGTCAGCATCTGTTCATACACTATTTTCTCAAGGACCTTAGATAAAAACGGTAATTTGGAAATTGGTCGGAGATTAGAGTAATCAGTGGGGTCGAGACCAGGTTTTTTCAAGATTGGCTGAAGAACGGCGTGTTTAAAGGCAGAGGGAACTTCAGCCAATGTCAAGCTACTATTTAAGATGTCTAGCACATTATGGCTAATGAAAGGAAAAACCTCTTTCAGGAGACGAGGTGGGATAACATCTTCTGGGGAGCCAGACGGTTTCATGGCAGCAACAGTTTTTTCTAGATAGGGCAGAGAGATGGGCTGAAAGCTTTGAAGTTGCACATGAGGGGGAATGACTGAATCAGGAACATGGTTGGTTTGGTGAATCTGAGCTCTGATTACACTAATCTTATTTAAGAAAAACTGCAGGATTTGGTTACACAAGTCAGCAGACGCAGAGGAAAATAGTTTTGTAACTGGTGAAAGCACTGCATTCATAGTTTTATATAACATACCTTGATTATTAGAATTAGCCGTTACGATGCTTGCAAAAAATCGATTTCTTGCGCCTCTGACTGCTCTTTGGTACTGAGACCACGCCTCTCTCATGGATTCAAAGGATACAGTAAGCCTGTCTTTTATCCATTTACGTTCCAGTCTTCTGGCATGTTGTCTCATGGAACGAGTTTGCTCGTTCAGCCATGGGTCAGGTCGGGATGTATTTCGCCTTGATTTTAATGGAGCGACAATATCCAAAGCAGCCAGACAGGATGAATCAAGCGCATGAAGTAATCCCTCAACAACAGTAAATTCATCAGTAGATTGAAATGGAGCTGAATTCAAAGCAAGAATAGCAGCAAAATGTGCAGCAGTATTGGGTCTGATTGTTCGAGAGAAGCTGGGACGGAAACACTCAACACGAGAGGCAGAGTCTAAGTTCATATTAAACACAACTGGTGAGTGATCAGAAAAAGTTGCAGGTTGTAGAAGATAAACACTTTTTTTTTACTCCTTTGGGACATTTACACAGTCCTATTGTACGTTACCTCTCCAAACACTTTATATTACACTACGGATGACCTGCTGAGGAGGGGTACACTCCAATACGCATTTAGCCAAATGCTTAATTAAAACTTTGAAAGAAATTACTAATTATTATTTTTTCATGCATATTCACTTTGTCCTGACGCTTCCTTACTTAATATCTTATAAACACAAGGTAAATGTTGCTCGTCAGGTCCATCAGCCTTTAGGAGCTGACAGGAGACAACCTGAGCTTTGCACACGTCCCCAGAGACACTTTCACCACAGTTGACCCTCTGATGGATAAAGGGAGTAAAGTTAGCTAAACAAATGCGCCACAAGTAAAAACGTGTGCGCTACCGGGATGTAAATACATGCAAACACATTTTAAAACAAGAATAAACAAAGCGAGACATTTATGAAGATAAAAAAGGACGTACCAACTTCTCCCGACACCGACACAGGGGAACCAAAAAGTCGGCCGCTAAACCTCTCTCCGTCCTGCAGAACCAAAGTTGCCGTTGTTGCCATGTTTGTTTCTCTGCTTGCTGATGCTAGCTATCGATCTCCTTTAGCAGCTTCACACAGATGGTTACTTCAGGTCTCCACGTGAACCTTCGCCACACAATGAATGGATGCAGCTAAGAGTCGGGGAAAACGGATAAAAATTAGATTTTATTTGTTAAAATAACCCAAAGAAATGTCGTATTGTTTCCTGCGTAAAAGCAAATTAGAGCAAAAAGTGAAAATAGGGCCTAATTTGAGATTTTGGCGGCTAAATTGACACAGGAGGCCAGAAAAATGTTCCACACGCCCCGCCAGCAGCGTGGAAGTCGGCCCGCGGTACTGACCTGAATGTTTGACGCACCAATGAAGTACACTTCCGGTGAGACTTTTCAAAACAAATTTAAGGTTAGAATAAAATTGAAGAACATTAAAAAAACTTTAGGAAACTTTGACATCAAATAATGAACGAAGCAAAAACAATGAAACACAACAACAAAAAAAAATTAAACTTTGAACGTAAATATTTTGAACTATAACATAAGTAGTACACCATACATTGTCAAATACAAAATCACAGATGAACTCACATAACTAAATTAAAATAGATATAACTTTGACATTTTTCAGCAACATGTTACCTAAAATTAACCACTATATAAAAAATGGGTTGATTATTGTGGGTCGAACGTGTTAAAATGTTGATATCTCCAATTTTTTTATTACAATGGGAAATATAGTCAAATAAGTTTAAAATATCCATATACAATAAATGTTTGTTGTTTTATACGGTGGTTTCATTATATGTCTTTAAACTGTGGATGTAGTTTTGACTTTAAAAGTGGTGGGGACACAACCGGCATGAGGACCAGGGGGTGGGTGGGTGGGGGGTCTTTACAGTAAGTATACAAAATATGCAATATATAATTAAAATCAGACTTCAACACAAGGGGTTGTAGCATAATATTATTTTTGAATGGTAAAAATTGCAGGTAATTGCAGGTATAATTGACTTTGTAAAAGTGTGGGGGACACGTTCCCCCTGTGCCCCCAAAACTACATCCATGCCATAAATTCATTAATACTGTTTTTTATATTGTGCTTCACTCAGGAGTGCTTACCTTCTGTTGCTTGGTAATAGATTTATTGATCTCAATGCCTGGTTAAATGAATAAAGTTCATGTGCTCTGCAACATTCTCTGATATTTAGAAAAGTCCTTGATTTTGAGCAAGGATGAAAATTATGTAGAATCTGAAAACCGCATTGTCATTTTTTTAAATTGTATACGCCCTGTCCGGCAGTAAAGAATTGTTCTTCTGATTGCTTAAAACAAGCCTTGCATATCTTTTCTGGTGAAATTTTATTTTGAAGGTAAAAATTTACGTTTCCGGTACCACTTCATACCATGTGACCGGTTTTTAACATTCGGGTTGAGTGGTGACGTTTCAAACATTTCCCCAAAAGTTTGTGTTGGGTTCATACGGGTTCTATTGGTTTACTGAATTGCTTCGAGCATTGCTCGTTAAAGAGCAAGTCACCCCCTAGCAGAGTTTTACTCCTCTTGTTCAAGCAACTCAAAGAAGTCCAGACGCTTTTCTTTCAAAGCTCATTAGACTACAATGACATGGATGACAGAGAACCTTCACAGACATCTTACTCCTCTTCCACTTCCTGTTTGAAAAATGCTGCAAATGCTAGCTGTTGGCTAGCAGACTGAGAGGGTGGAGCCACTAACAAATACACACACATGCAGGCTCACAACAACATTGTGACATCATAATGTCCCAGCTAACGCCAGTGTACCTCTTAGCCAATAGCGATAGCAGATTTAAATTCAAATGTAGTGCAGGTTTTTACCTGACAACTACACAACACTGATAGTTTTAAGCAGAATATCTAATATTTAACTAAGATGCACTAAAGTGCCAAATTATTGACTGCACATGTCTACAGCACGATTAGACACTCGTGTATATAGATTATCAGGAAAAAAAATGTTGATTTGGGGGTGACTTGCTTTTTAAACATTTTAATGGTATACTGTTCATTTACATAAAAATCCTACATTTTGAAGTGGAAGCTTTGCTAACAAATCATTTTACAAAGTTTACAGGAAATTACTTTACTTTTTAGTGAGCGGTGTAATGTGAGGTAGTAGTTTTAACAAAAATACATTTGTATTGTAAAAATTTGTACACTATGTATTGCGTCTCTGAATGATATAAAATATCCGTCAAACACTACATAGAAGGGGATGTAGCTCAGTGGTAGAGCGCATGCTTTGCATGTATGAGGCCCCGGGTTCAATCCCCGGCATCTCCAAATGTTTTTCCTTTCCACCTTTTTGTTATGATCTCTCAGAATAAGTTTCTCATCATTCACGCGCCTCAGTCTACTTACATACTTATTCATTTTTGGTAAACCATAATGGTAAACCTTTGACTGAGTTTAAAAGACACTTCCAATAGTACTTTTCTTCATGTAAAGGTGGTCTCGTGATGTATCTTCTTTATAAGCCAGAGAACACGCCAACAGCTTTATTGAATACCATATATCCAATTTTAATTATTAAGCTGAAACTAAAACTCACATTCGAAAAGAAAATCAAATACAAGAAGCAGGGGGGTTTCAAACTTCCGTTAGTCTCAAACGCACCCCGAGTCTCCGCCCCTCAGCGGTAACCAAGGAGATCACATTTATGCTTACTTAGCTGCTAGGCTGGCGCTGGCCAGAAAAATTATTTAGTTCTAAAAATTTCAACGCCGATAACCTCTGAAAATGCAGTTGAAGTATCTGAAGACACTCCTAACACCCCAGGTAGGTCCGGGCGACAGATTAGCTCAAGCTAGCTGACGCTGGAGAATCAGACCAGTGAAAAAGTCAGACTCGCTGGAACAGTAATTATCCTCTGGAGCTCCAAATCAGTCATAGAACACAACTTTCCGTTGCTCGTGATGGTAGTATAAAACAAATATTTTTTAAATGTTGTTTTACTGTTTTACATATGAAGCAGTTCGAGTTTAACCATGTAAACATATCTGATCATATCCTCCTGATGTAAAAACAGTGTTCGTAGATTCTGGCTAAAGCATCAGTTAGACGTTTGTTATGGTGTAGAGAGGAGTCTAACGGTGTGGAGATGCTCACACAGGAGGGTCCTGCCAAGGTATCGTGCATGGCCTGGTCTCCGAACAACAGCAAGTTCGCTGTTTGCACTGTGGACCGAGTGGTTCTTCTGTTCGATGAACAGGGAGAGAGGAGGGACAAGTTCTCCACCAAACCCCTGGACCCCAAGGTCAGACCATAGACTGTATATACACATGTCAGACACATGACCTCTTCTGTTATTGGACTGAGAATCAGCTTTTGGATTAAACTAATTCTGACACTTTTGTCCTCACAATTTTGATTTTAATAATTCAGCGAAAAACGTCAGAATTCTGAGATTAAAAGTCAGAGTACTCCTTCTTTTCTTTTCAGTGGCCATAATTCTCTTCTGTAAATTTTAAAGGTTTATTTTTAGCTTTTGGAGAAATATTTTCAACTTTATCATGTAAGAAATGCTAGTTTTTTTGTCTATGAGGTCGTACTAAAATAAATAATTAGTGTAAATAAAAATTTAGGCCAAAAACCCAAACCTTTCTTCTTTTTTAATGATGTTAAACAGAATTCTTTGATTTTACTCTAAAATTCTTTCTTTTTAATTAAAAAAACACAAATAAAACTCTTTCAACTATGGACATTTAATATTCTACATCCAGGTGTGTGCAGTGGATACTATTTCCACTTTCTTCCAAACACATTTACTTTGATGACTTTTACTTTTTTAGATCATAAAAACTAAATATCATTTATAACCAATGCGTCTCGTATTACCTGAAATGAAAACTTTCACTAAATCATTCAGACACAACTGAAATGATAATAAAAATTCAACGATTAATCAAAGTCTTTGCTTACATCTGCTGCCCTGTTTTTTAAATGTATGCTTCATCCTAGAATGATTTCATAAATCAGTTTTATATACGTTTTGGTTATTTTTAGTATGGAAAACAGAGCTACGTGGTCAACGACATGGCCTTCTCTCCTGATTCCACAAAAATCGCCATCGGCCAGTCAGACAACATAATCTTCGTCTACAGAATCGGGGAGAATTGGTACTTTTCTCTCTTTAAATGTCTCTTTTCTACACACGTCTGAGTATTTGTTAAATCTGGTTTCCTGTTTCTCACAGGGGTGACAAGAAGGCCATTTGCAACAAGTTTATTCAGACGGTGAGTAGAAACATCTCTGACACCTGAAAGTGATGTGAATCTGTGTTGGGTCACATGACCGCAGCATCATGGGCGTCGCACCCGTGGGGGATGTGGGGGTTTCAACACCAACACTTTTCCAGCCGTTTTGCTCACCTCCACACCAGTCTGGTTTCTCTACGACGCACTTGCTCTGTTTGCCTCATCTCTTTCTTCCCCTCCCTCTCCTGTTTCTCCTTGGAACCCGACATCGGCAGAAACCTTTTAACAACGGTAGTTTTTGCATCTTTACCGCTCCCCTGCTTCAGCCCTCTCCCCCCTCCCCCTGTGCAGCATCTGCAAACTCACTGATGCGCCTGCAGCCTTTCAGAGTTTCTGCTGCTTTAAACATTGAAACAATCATTTCATTTTTTGTTCCTCACTTCTGATTACCTCCAATGGTGTCTGTTTGTTGCAACCACCAGGTACAAAAACTAACTTGTTTTTATTTGACTATTTTTCTGTCCTGTCTGTTTATTATCTTCCTGCATCTCCTCTCAATCCTAAAGAAAAACTGCTACCTGGCTTCATATATACTGGTCCTTCTAAAAAAATTAGCATATTGTGATAAAGTTCATTATTGTCTCTAATCTACTGATAAACATTAAACTTTCATATGAAATTGATTCATTACACACAACTGAAGTAGTTCAAGCCTTTTATTGTTTCTAATATTGATGATTTTGGCATACAGCTCATGAAAACCCAAAATTCTTATCTAAAAAAATTTGCATATCATGAAAAGGTTCTCTAAATGAGCCATTAACCTAATCATATGAATCAACTAATTAACTCTAAACACCTGCACAAGGTTCCTGAGGCTTTAAAAAAAACAGCCTGGTTCATTACTCAAAACCACAATCATGGGTAAGACTGCCATCCTGACTGCTGCCCAGAAGGCCATCATTGACACCCTCAAGCAAGAGGGTAAGACACAGAAAGAAATTTCTGAACGAATAGGCTGTTCCCAGAGTGCTGTATCAAGGCACCTCAGTGGGAAGGAAGAAGTGTGACAGAAAACGCTGCACAACGAGAAAAGGCGACCGGACCCTGAGGAAGATTGTGGAGAAGGACCGATTCCAGACCTTGGGGGACCTGCAGAAGCAGTGGACTGAGTCTGGAGTAGAAACATCCAGAGCCACCGTGTACAGGTGTGTGCAGGAAATGGGCTACAGGTGCTGCATTCCCCAGGTCAAGCCACTTTTGAACCAGAAATAGCGGCAGAAGCGCCTGACCTGGGCTACGGAGAAGCAGCACTGGACTGTTGCTCAGTGGACCAAAGTACTTTTTTCAGATGAAAGCAAATTTTGCATGTCATTCAGAAATCAAGGTGCCAGAGTCTGGAGGAAGACTGGGCAGAGGGAAATGCCAAAAGGCCTGAAGTCCAGTGTCAAGTACCCACAGTCAGTGATGGTCTGGGATGCCATGTCAGCTGCTGGTGTTGGTCCACTGTGTTTTATCAAGGGCGGAGTCAACGCAGCTAGCTACCAGGAGATTTTGGAGCACTTCATGCTTCCATCTGCTGAAAAGAAGATTTAATTTTTCAGCACGACCTGGCACCTGCTCACAGTGCCAAAACCACTGGTAAATGGTTTACTGACCATGATATTACTGTGCTCAATTGGCCTGCCAACTCTCCTGACCTGAACCCCATAGAGAACCTGTGTGATATTGTGAAGAGAAAGTTGAGAGACGCAAGACCCAACACTCTGGATGAGCTTAAGGCCGCTATGGAAACATCCTGGGCCTCCAAAACACCTCAGCAGTGCCACAGGCAGATTGTATCCATGCCACGCCGCATTGAAGCAGTCATTTCTGCTAAAGGATTCCCGACCAAGTATTGAGTGCATAACTGAACATAATTATTTGAAGGTTGACTTTTTTTGTATTAAAAACACCTTTTAATAAACTGAACTACTTCAGTTGTGTGTAATGAATCTAATATATATTAAAGTCTAATGTTTATCAGTACATTACAGACAATAATGAACATCATCATAATATGCTAATTTTTTTAGAAGGACCTGTATTCACCTTATGAGTTACCTTTGAACTGCAGTTCTAAAAGATCTACCGACCGCAAAAACAGCGGAGTGCGCGCCGGCCGCACCGGTGAGGTGAGGTCACCGGATGACAAAACAGGTGATGCGCCCCGCTCCGCAGCAGCGAAACGCATCAGGCACAGATTAAAGACAGAAAGCATAAAACGATATGAGCCGACATGAACGATCGCGTGTTAAATTTGTTGTTGAGGTGGCGACACTTTGAGAATGTTACTGTGGCCGTGCTCAGGACGCATCTGTCTGGATTGCGTCAACGATCAGAGTTCTGCATCTCTCAGATCAAAGTAGTTCCGGACAGTCCACATGAATAATGTAAGTAGAACCAGGATCGTTTCAGGCTCCCCCTGGGGGTGTTGAGGGCTTCCAGGAGCTCCCTTTAGCTCACCCGTAATTCGAATCCTGCGTGTAGCACAAGTTTGTCGCGTGAGTTGCCGGATCCTAGCAGACAGTTGCTGGAACGGTCCTTTCAAAATAAGATAGTTCCCGGATCTTGTTCCGGCAAGATCCGGCTCAAATTAAGCACTGATTGGTGAATATTAAGCATGTTTTTGGAAGGACTTTGTTACTGTGAATTATGCGCGGACCCGTTACTGGATTAAGGTTGAGTTTCAGTTTACAGCTGATGACATCCACAGACAACATCCCCCACACTTTTGAAAAGCTTGCAATGCGCCTGAGCAGCATAAAGGGTTTTATGTCCTGTAGCCGTGTGACCTTTGACCCAAAAGGTTTCTATGGTTCTGACTGGCAGGAATATGCAGGTAGTTTAACTCTTGTGGGCTCGCTAGTGCTTCTAGATGCACACTCGCTCCACCGGGTTTATGCGTCAGTGCTGTGATGGAAGCTAAACCCTCACCTGTGGATTTCTGTACAGATGTTTTCCTCTGCTGTCAGAGCAGCTGCTGTCTCCTCCCAGAATGTGGACGTCTGCTGTCTTAAAGAAGTCTTTCATCAGAATCTGGCTGGGAAGTGGTGGTGGTGGAGGAGTTAGTGAGCTTGGTACTTCACACTTTTCTGTTTGAACCAACTTAGAAAACACTTGGAATGAAAAGCGAAGTTACCGTTTTTGGACCTGCTAGGATGTATTTGGGTTTTTTGGCATCAGGTTCTGGTCTGTGTGCAGGTTTTTGGTCTAACTCTGTTCTTGGGTTTGGATCTTGCCGTTGGTCTCTTCCGTGTTCTGAACCTTTAGGCTCTGCTTCCTCTTAGCGAGGATGGGATCGGCCCTAGCAGGTCAGACTGGAGGAGCCCCTGCCGGTCGGCTCGTGTTTGTAGAGACTTTAGGGTGGAAGTGAGTCAGAAGTCAAACAGGGAGTATTCCTTTGGGGGTTAAATGTTAATTTCTGTGTTGCAGAGTGCCGTGACTTGTCTTCTTTGGCCGTTGGAAAACGCTGTTGTTTACGGACTGGTGGATGGCAAGGTGAGTTTTACTGCTTCACCATGTGAACTAAAGAGCACCAAAAGAAAAGAGTCCAGGTCCAGAACATCATGGTGATTTACTCTCTACAGTTTGTCTTTGTAAAGTCCCATTAGTCGTCACACTCTGCATTTGACCCAATGGGGAGCAGCGGGCTGCAGACACGGCTGCGCTCGAGAACCATTAGGTTGTTTGAACCCCAGTCAACCCCCTTAATGCTGAGTATGAAGCAGGGAGGCCCATTTTAACGTCTGTGGTATGACCCGACCGTGGATTTGAACCCCTCTCCCAGTCTCTCGGTGGACACTCATACCACTGAGCTGGTCATGTTTTACTTTGATCAGAATTCTCTTCGCTTGAGTATGTTTACTATGGAGAAGTCTTCCTGCCATAACAGACAATAAATAAATAATGGAAATAAACAAATGAAAATGTAAATAAGTAGTTAAAACATTTATTTTTTTCCTTTTTATTTTCAGTTTGTCATTCATTCATTCATTCATTCATTCATTCATTCATTCATTCATTGATTGTTTATTTTGCCAGGTGGGGCCTGTTTAAATTAAAACTGATGTAATGTTTGTAGAGTAATAAACTACACTACTTTTAAAATGTTAATATACTCAGAGTAAACACGTTTACTCTCCACCAGAGGGCGTATAGAATGGTAAATGACCTGTGTTTGCTATAGCGCCTACAACCCCCCAAGATGCTTTACAACACAACCAGTCATTCACACACTGGTGGTGATGAGCTACGATGTAGCCACAGCTGCCCTGGGGCACGCTGACAGAGGCGAGGCTGCCAGGCAGGCTCCACCGGTCCCTCTGAATGCCACCAGCAGGTAAGGCGGGGGAAGTGTCTTGCCCAAGGACACAACGGCAGCATTCTCTGCCAGGAGCCAGGGTCGATCCTACAGCCTGTCCAGTATTAAACACAGCAGGTGACTGAGGAATGTACTGATCCAGTTGAAGAGGTGGAGGCAGGGGCGCCTCCAGAAGTTTTTGATAGGGGTGGCCAGACGGGGCCAAATACATTTTTGGGGTGGCACACCAAATTGGTCCTTGTGGTAACTCTGGGAGAGTTTAGCCTGTAGCGATGTATTGCATTGCTCCTTTATTCATTTTTATTTAAAAAAAGCAGTACATATCCAAAACATTTAACTTAAATTTTACAAAGACAAACATTTCAGAAAAATACATTTCAGTTATTTAAAATGTTATTCCAAATTTAATGTAAATTAAATGTTTTAGGTTAATTCACCTGCTGCTGTGTTCACAGAAAAAAACAATGGAGATAAAAACTTTTTTAAAATGGTGAGCAGCGGAAACAAATGTATTTATTTTTTATTCCAATAATTTCTTTACTTATTAATTGTATTATTTTTATTTTGTTTTACAACTATGTCTTGAATAAACAAGATCAATATATGGTTTGACTAAATATTAAATATTAATATGATTTATTAACACTGACTTTTCCTGGGGGGCCAGCACTTATCTAGGGGTGGAGGAGGAACAAATCTGAAACATTCAGTTTTAAGGTGAAGTATTTGTTTCTCTGACTTTTCACAGGTTCGCCTCGCCAACACACAGACAAATAAATCTTCCACCTACTACGGCACCGAGTCCTGCGTCGTCTCCATGGCATCCAAGTAAATGTCTGACTTCAGGAGAACAACGTTCCTGCTTGTTCGTTTTATTTCTGTTTTATGATAAAATGGCATTTCTTTGTCAGTGCCTCTGGGAAAGGCTTCCTGTCGGGCCATGCTGACGGGACAGTTGTACGATACTTCTTTGACGATGAAGGCTCGGGAGAGTCTCAGGTTCGCCTGTCCGCCTTCGCGTTGAATGATGTGAAAAGTCCTTTAGTATTCTCACTCACCTGCTTCCGCTGTTTCCTCTCAGGGGAAGCTGCTGACACACCCATGCCCCCCCTACGCTCTAGCCTGGGGAGCCAACAGCATCATGGTGGGCGGCTGTGACAAGAAAATAGTGGCGTACGGCAAAGAGGGTCAGGTCCTGCAGAACTTTGACTACAGCCGAGACCCTTCTGAGAAGGAGTTCACGGTGGCGGTCTCCAGCCCCAGCGGGCAGTCTGTGGTGTTCGGCAGCTTTGACCGGTCAGCATGTCTCCGTGAAGCTGCATTTAACTGGGAGAGATGTGGTTCTTATTTCTGATGTTTGGGCAGATTGCGAGTGTTTAACTGGGCTCCGAGGAGAGGCACGTGGGACGAAGCTGAACCCAAAGAGATATCAAACCTTTATACCATCACCAGCTTGGCCTGGAAGAAGGACGGCTCACAACTTTGTGCTGTAAATACATCATTTATTATTCAGTGTTTAACGCTGCTTTGTAATGTTAACATTATCGTTCAGTCATGAGTAAGTTACTGTTTTCTGTTTAAAAATCTGATTCCAAAATTAGTTCTGTAATAAATAAAACGGTTATGAAGAAGCAAGACAGGCCCTTGCCACCTGTAGATCCTCCACTAGAGGGCAGTAGACATGTACAGGACTGGATATGGGTGAAGGTACAAAATATGGCTGCACGATATTAGGAAAACCTGCGATATGCGGTAACAGTGATTAAGATTGCGATGACGATATTACTTGCGACAAATAAAAACTTAACTCAGGAACAAAAATAATCAAAAACAAGGAAATAAAAAAATTACCAAAAAATCATAAAAATGAGAAAAGCAAAAGATGTGAGGAAAGGGTAAAAGAAAATGAACAATGAAAGACAATCAGTGGATCCCGGGAAAAGCAGAATCAGCAGAAAGCGCAGAACAAAGCTAACTCGAACCATCAAAATGAAGTGCCGTCCGCCTTGGGGGCGGGACTAACCTGTGAGAACCCACCCAATTGGCCAAATGGGTGAAGAGCTCTATTTGATTTGTTAAAAAACATCATGCTTCCATTTGATGGACAGAATGCATTATGTGTAGTAAACATTTGAGCTGACTGTTGCAATATTTATCTGTTCTTTGCGATATGCATATTGTGCATGCTGATATCGCGATAACAATATATTTGCGATATATTGTGCAGCCCTAATACTAGTCCTGATGTTCCGTCTGGAGGCCAGAAGTGGTAAAAATGTAACATGACCTGGAAGTTGTTCTGTGAGTAAAGAGCAGGTGATGTGGTGATGCTGCAGCGCTGGAGCGCAGTACACACCTGTAAAATCCCGCTGGACTGAGATCATTCACAGTGTTGTACTCTAATGTTATAAAGAAAGTAACATCTGGAGCACATTCTGGATGTGATGTGGTTCAGATCATCAGCTGAAAATGAAAAAAAATAATTTTTTACAAACACCTTGAGATTTGCACCATAAATCTCTTTTCCGTTCCTCTCTCGAACTCAAATCTCCCAGAATGCACTGCAGCGCTACCTGCATGAACTGAAAACAAGTTTGCTGTTGTTCTGCCAGGGAACGCTGTGTGGAGGAGTGGAGCTGTTCAACTACTGCCTGAGGAGAACCGTCTACAGGAACATGTTTGAGATGACCTACGTGGGCCTGAGTCAGGTAGCAACAGGAAAACCAGAAACCTACCTTTTAATCAGCTAACTGCTGCTGACTGCTGCAGCGCGATCAGCAATCAGGAGCTGATTGGAAACTGAAAATAACCTTGATTGTGTGAATCAAGTCATTTAGATGAAATCAGTTTAATTGCAACAATCAGATTTATTTGTTCCTGAATGCTTCAGCGCCCAGCCTGCTGCTGTTTCTTCTTCCTCTAGTTTTAAAACAAGTTAAATATTCCAGAAAACAGCAGGAACCAGGAGGACATTAGAGGATTGTTTTAAAACTAAAATGTTCCTGAATGTCTTTAGATGTTCCTGAGGTGAAGATTTGAGTGTTGAACTAATCACAAGCAGCACTGATTTAGTAATGAACATCAAATATGACCCATCTTTTTAGCTTAGCTTAGCTTTTAACTGATTACTATCACTTTTAAAATAAGTAAATTAATTAATTAGGTTATTTATCTATTTATTTGTTTTATGTATTCTTTCTTTATACGTGCTATTTTTAAACAGTTTTTTTACCATAGATTTATGATCGACATTATTTTAATATCTATATAACTTTTTACATTACAATTCTCATTTTAGCTCTTGTGATTTTATATTTTAACCTTAATTTAACCTTTTTCTGGGGGGTCGGCACGTGTGTGTGTGTTGTGAAGGGTTTTTATTGTCAGACTGTTTTTAAAATTCTGGGGATGGGAGGGAATGTGGGTATGCGGGGCCTTTTTAATTTGTTAAACACTTTGAGTTGCATGCATTGTAGAATTAAGTGCTATATAAATAAAGTTTGATTGATTGATTGAAATATTTCTTTTTTAACTATCTTTGATGAATTTCCATTAAAAACACGAGCAAATCTCCATCTTTAGGTGATTGTGAAGAACCTCTCCACAGGAACGCGCGTGGTTCTGAAGTCCTTCTACGGTTATGAGATTGAGGAGGTGAAGATAATGGGAAAGGACCGCTACCTGATGGCTCACACCTCCGACACCCTCCTGCTCGGAGACCTGCTGATGAATAAATTGAGCGAGGTGTTAGTCACAAACATTATGGCCGCCTGCTGTTTTTGATTTCAATTAGCTTAACATTTTAATTCTGTTCTCGTGTTTTAGGTTCCTTGGCCCAGCTCTGGGGGAAACGAGAAGTTCTTTTTTGAAAATGAAACGGTAATGGTAAACACACACACACACACCCTTACACACACACACACACTCATCACTTGTTTTTCTCTCAGGTGTGTTTGATCTTTAATGCCGGTGAGTTGACTTTGGTGGAATACGGTCAAAACGAGATTCTGGGATCCGTCAGAACCGAATTTATGAATCCTCACCTCATCAGGTAGGTGCCATTTCCTCTAAAACACCTCCCAGTGGCACGCTTAGTAGCATGTTAACATCTAAAGCTTAAAGTCTCATATAATAAAATTTATATAAGAAATAAAATGGTAACAGTTGTATATTTGTTATTACCAGACAATAACAATAATAAAAAGAACACCTAAAACCAATGAGAATTTGGTGTTATTTGTTTTTTTTGTTTTGTTTTTTGTTTTCTTATAAAATAAAGATTGCTGAAAACTTTATTAAAGTAAAATCTGTTAACATGAACACTCAGTTCTGTCCACTAGGTGGCGTTGTTGAGTTGCTGAAACATCAGGACAGACAGTTGTGCACAGAAGGCTGTTAATTTTCACACAATCATTATAATGTAGTCAAACCTACCAATGTGTGTGTGTGTGTACATGTGTAGTGCACGACTAAATGAGAGGAAGCAGAGAGGAGTTGATGACAACAAGAAGCTGGCCTACCTGGTCGACATGAAGACCATCGCCATTGGTAAGAAATCAGGAGTGTGAATAAAATCATATGTGAAACGCACACACACACACACACACACACACACACACACACACACACACACACACACACACACACACACACACACACACACACACACACACACACACACACACAAACACACACACACACACACACACACACACACACACACACACACACTTTTATGTTGAGGTTCGACAGTAACTTGACCAGTTTAGGCCCAGATCAAACAGCAGGATTTTTTGAATGCCAAACCATTTTTAAAGCATTAGACACCACACGTGGTGATAAATAATCACAGATAGACCCGTTTAGGTCCTACAGCATGCAGTGTGCTGCACAGCAATTTCCACACACATTAGTGATGTAAGAAAATATTGATATGGCAATATATTCTGATATTCTTTCCTGTGATATTATATCCATATACAAAAGCAGTTTATTGCATTTTTGTAAGAAATTACAAGCAAACATTTGTGTTATTATTTTAGTACAATTCAAAAGCCAACCACTAGTTGGCAGCAGTGTGCATTTGGTTTTGTTTCCGCCACTGAAATATAAATCCCGCCATTATGGTTCAGATACCTCATATTAAACATGTTACGTATCAGTTTGGACTGTTTATTGAAATTCCCTGCAATAAATTTAGTCTAAAAATTGCTGGTATTGTCTGGCTGCATGTATCGCAATATATCGTGATTTCTCTAATTTCCCTCTGGGATTAATAAAGTATCTTTGAATTGAATTATCGTATCTTCTCCCCTGAATCGTGATACGTATCGCCAGAATTTCACCAATGCACATCCCTATTACACATGAGCATTCTCCGGCCACATGAGAAATATTACAACTCCTCTAGTGATCAAAAGTGACTTCAAAGTAAACAAATGTGGCAGAGGAAGAGTGTCCTGCCTGCTTCCCTCACCTCGCTTTCTGATTGGCTACACATCACATTTAAAGAGCAAGTCACCCCCTACCAGATTCTAACTACGCTCCCACTTCCTGTTTGAAAAATACAACAAATACTGTTGCCTAGCAGACCGAGAGGCACACACACACACACACACACACACACACACACACACACACACACACACACACACACACACACACACACACACACACACACACACACACACACACACACACACACACACAGGCTCACAACAACATTGTGACATCATATGGTACCAGCTAACATTCTAGGGTACCTCTTAGCCAATAGCGATGGCAGATTTAAATTCAAATGCAGTGCAGAGTTTTTACCTGACAACGGCACAACACTGACAGTTTTAGGCAGAAAATTTTTATTTGAACTAAAATGCACTAAAGTGCAAAACTATTGACTGCATGTGTCTACTGCACAATTAGACACGTAATTATATAGTTCATCAGGAAAATAAGTTGATTTGGGGGTGACTTGCTCTTTAACAAGCAGCACACTACTTTGTCCTTGAATCAGACAGAGACTATCCAACATCTCAAATATCCACATCTGTGATCAGGCCATTCCCGAAGTGCACCGGGCAGAAAAAGTAAATGACAGATGGTTTTATTTTTGCCTGTGTGTTTATTTTTTTACTTTCTAGCAAAGAAGCAAATTAAATGAAAATTTTCATAGTGATCCTTACACCCACATCTACCACTGATTCCACTTGGTATCCACAGATCCTTAAAAAGTCTTCAATAGTCTTAAATTAGCTTTTCCAAATTTAAGGCCTTAAAAATCCTTAAAAATTACAAATAATCCAGTTTCCAAAGGTCTTAAATTACCAAAGACCCAATAAACAAGATTATTTTATTTCTATACATTTTTGTGAATTTCTAGTTAGTGTTCAGCATTTGTTGTGTATGATATTGGCATAGGCGGAACCATACACATTCAGTTGGTTGTGAAAGGGGGCTATTTTTAGATGAGCACATTAGCTGGTTAAGCTAGTGGGAGCTTGCGCCATGTGGAAGTGCAAGCTTAATGGTAACTGGATGGCTAATCCCACGTTCACGATGTGGTTAGCACCTGTTCCAGGCAATAGCTGGAAATTATAGCTTAAATGTAATTTAAAAAAATAGCTTAAATTTTATTTTAAAAAATAGCTTAAATTTGGTCAACGTTGCCTTAAAAAAGTCTTAAAAAGTATTAAATTTGGCTCCCTTAAACCTGCAGATTCCCTGTGATTACCTTCAGCAGTGATTCAAGATGGCTGCCTCAGCCAAGCAGCTCTAGCAAGCACCAAGATGGCTGCGACTCAGTCAGTTTTATAGATATTCAGCTAAAATCCCACCGAGCCATTCGAAATGCTGCGGTCTAGTATGTTTGTAGTTTACATGTAAAAACCAGCAGGTTAAAATGGACAAAAATACAAACATCTGGATGTTGCTGCTGTCAATAAAATGTTGTTAATTTTCTCCAGAATTATTTAATTTGGTTTTATACCAAAAAAAAAAAAAAACAGACAAAGGAAAATTCATCCCGTGAAGCTGCTAAATTACTACAAAATGTTTTATTTTTAATCCCAGAAGACCTCAGTTATATAACACTATAAATAAAAAAACACCTTTATATGTTAACAGATTAATATAAAATCTTATTTTACCTGAAGCATTTAAACAGCTTCCTCTGGACGGTGGAATTAATACCTGGCTGGTGTTTAATCTTGAATAAAAGTTTGTTTTTAGCCAAAAGCTGCAGCTCAGTTAATCTGTGCTGTGTTTTCTCCCCTCAGTGGACCTGGCTGGAGGCTACAGCCTGGGAACCGTCAGCCACGACTCTAAGATTGACTGGCTGGAGCTCAATGAGACCGGACGCAAACTGCTGTTCAGGGACAAGAAGCTGCAGGTGAGAATGAACCCCCCCCCCCCCCCCCCCCCCCCCCCCCCCGGGGGCAGAGGGAACGGAAACAATGAGACAGAGACCTGGAGGCGGGAAGGCAGAGAGGGAAGATGACAGGCAGGTAAAGTAGGGAAATAAGAACCCGTCCTGGGCTGGAGCACGTCTGCTGTCACCGTCTCGTCCATCACCTGAAACATGCCCCGTGGCTCTCTGTGGGAGCAGCTCAGCCCGCTGGGAATCAGGAAGTTTGGAGGAATGTGGAAGCTCCGTGAATTTATCACTCATTTTAGTTTGGGAAGTTGGTTTGTTCCTCGTTTACAGAAATAAAAAGATGATGTGACTAAACAGAAAAAATCAAATGTTCTCAAAATGAGGATGAAAGTGAAAAAAGTGAGATAACGCTTCCGTTTACAGTCCCCTAATTACTAAGTACTTACATGGTAATTACATAGTAAGTTAAAGTGTATTATTGTTTGAATTCTTAAACAGTAATTACTATGTAACTCAGGTTAAATTCTAGTTTTTATTGTATTAATCATTCCCAGTAAATACTGCTTTACACAATAGTTACACTTTTTTTTTACAATTATACACTTAAATTACACAATAATACACTTAAACTTACTATGTAATTACCATGTAAGTACTTAGTAATTAGGGGACTGTAAAACAAAGCGTTACCAAAAGTGATTTTTATAATGAGTAAAAATATGGAAGTACTGTAATCAGATTACTATTCTTGTTCCATAAAGGTTGATTTTAAATGTATTTGATATCCACCTGAAACAAAATATCATGAAGTAACTAAATTAAAGTGGCTCTTATAAAGATAAATAAATCTAATGTTCTCAGCCAGCTACTAAAAATTACTGAAAACTTTCCTGTTTTTAATCTGTGAGAAATAATTTAAAAACAGTTTATTTCAAATAAAATGTGGACTTTGATTAGAGCTGGATCAGCTGGCTGCTCGACTTGCTGGGTGTAAATTTGACCCGCAGAGCTCCAGGTTGATACTATAGAGGAAACGTTGTTAATGTTGGAGCTGGTGATGAAGAGGTTTTGATCTTATGGTGCTGCTGCTGATTACAGCAGCGGGGGTCTGATATACTCATCAGTGCTGCAACCCAACAGGCTCTTGTTGCTTATAGGAGCATCCCTCTCGGCCCTATTGGCACCTGTACAACAAAACAGTATTTTTAGTCTAATGTGTACAATTCTGGGTTCTAAATAAAGTGTTGTTCTTTTTTCCACAGTAGAAAATCACAAACTAACAAGTCAAGTCATAGTGGCTCGAGCTATTCTTATAGGAGACCAAACTCAGTCCATCTTAATCCAGATTATGGCCCTATGGTGTGTTTCAGCAGCTGGTTTATTTTATCTGTGCACTACTCGTGATGTCGGATCAGCATCTTGATGTGGCACACCTGTGAGGTGGGATGGATTATCTCAGCAAAGCAGAAGTGCTCACTATCACACATTTAGACTGATTTATGAACAATGTTTGAGAGAAATGGTAATATTGTGTATCTGGAATGAATTTTAAATCTTTAAGTCCATCTCACAAAAAATCGGAGCAGAAACAAAGGTGTTTCGTTTATATTCTTGTTGAGTGTATATATGATAACCCTTTCACTGGCCCAAATGAATTGAAAATCCTTTGGAGAAAAGTGTTTTATTTGCTGTTTTTTCTCAGTGGACATTGGTGAAATGACTGACTAGCCGTTAGCTCATCAATCCTGTAGAACCACATGTCTACTGCCTTCTGGTGGATGATATACAGGTGGCAAGGACCAAGTTTATATTTTACGGTTATGTTGTTTTATGTGATTCTAAAATTTAGATGTTTTATTATTTCGCATTTGAGCCTTTAAAGGGTAAAATCATCGTACATACGTCCGTTAATGGTGACCCTGTAGCTATCGTCGTTACTCTTAATCCTGCTGAGGATGAAACTGAGAATTGTCCCACCTCCTTTCAGCTCCATCTGTACGACATAAATTCGGGGGTGAGGACCACTCTGCTGAGTTTCTGCTCCTATGTCCAGTGGGTTCCCGGCAGCGACGTGGCGGTCGCCCAGAACCGGGGGAACCTCTGTGTCTGGTACAGCATTGACAGCCCAGAGAGCATCTCCATCTTTACCATCAAGGTGAGACTCCGCCTCTCTGCAGGTAGAACACCGACACACCTCAGCTTTGGTCGAGCTTTCACGCTTTCACCATAGATCTGTTTTTACTGGGGGAAGTAAAACTTATTTTATTTTGCTCTTTACTAAAATATATTTAAAGAGCAAGTCACCCCCTACCAGATTCTTACTCAACTCCCACTTCCTGTTTGAAAAATGCAACAAAAGCTGTTGCCTAGCAGACCGAGACGGCAGAGCCTCTAACAAATACACACACACACAGGCTCACAATGACATTGTGACATCATGTGGTACCAGCTAACATTCTAGGGTACCTCTTAGCCAATAGTGATGGCAGATTTAAATTCAAATGCAGTGCAGAGTTTTTACCTGACAACGACACAACACTGACAGTTTTAGTCAGAAAATTAAAATTTAAAAACATTACTGCAGACACGTGTAGTCAAAACTATTGAATACACGTGTCTGCAGCACGATTAGACACGCATTTATATGGTTTATCAGAAAAAAAGAGTTGATTTGGGGGTGACTTGCTCTTTAAATTATGAAAAATTGCTTCTATAAGAAGATTTTGAACTCATCAAGGATTTGTTTTCAGAGCAACCAGTTGCCTCTTTTCACAAAGTTGTTAGTTATTCTGGTTAAAAACTATTTTGATCAGAATCACAAATAAAAACTTTAGTAAAACCTTAAAATATTCATTAATAATAATAATAATAATAATGTCTTAATGCCCTGGTCGTTAATCCAAACTACTAACTTTCTTCTGTTTTGGTGTTTCGGAGCTGCCGGTAGATCCACACTGAGCTCTGGTTTCTCGTTTTTCTGTCCCGTGGCAGTAAGTTGCCCTGAGCTTTATCTAGATTTTCTTTACGCAACTCTTGCTTGTGTTAAAAATTGCTTCTCAGATGAGAACAGATGGGCAGAGTTCTGTTTTTGTCGGCTGCGCTGTGCCAAACTTCCTGTTTTGAGGACAGCCAGCATTCATCTGTTGGTTTTAACCGTAAAAACCAGATTTTTCAGCCGTTTGGTTCTTTTTCAGGGAGACATCGTGGATCTGGAGCGAGCCGACGGAAGGACAGAGGTAATGGTGTCTGAGGGCGTGAACACGGTGAAGTACACGTTGGACGAAGGCCTCATCGAGTTTGGAACCGCCATCGATGATGGAAACTATGACCGGTGAGTTCAGGCGTCATGCAGAAGATACTCATGATGCGGTGCCCCCCCGGGTTTTTACTGTAGGGCGAGCAGAAGCAGCCAGATGTCCTTTTATCTGCTGCTTCCTCCTGCTCTTCTTCAGATGTTTGCTCATCCCTCTCAGGCCAGCTGGGGGATATAATGCGTCCCCTCAGCGCGTCGTGACTCGTACACCTCCAAGAGGAGGCTCTCGTGAGGAAGTGATAACTGACCTCCTGTTTCAGAGGACCAGCAGCTGAACTCTTTACACCAGCAGCTCAATTTGCTCTAATGAGAGGCATCATCAAACCTTGACAACACTTTTCTGTAAAACATCTATTTCATTCATTTTTCTGAACCAACAGGAAAATTTTAGGATTTTTTGGGATTTTGGTCAATTCGGCCATCTTGAATCAGCTGTAGCTCATCATCCAGGGATTTTTGTCTGGGAATTTTATTCCGATCTATCCACTGGACTAAACTGGATAACATTTTTGTGTTTCCAAGGTGCGCTGGCCCAGGTGGCCATATTGAATCAAGCAGACCTGTGCACACCTTTTGCGTTCTTCATCGTGGATTTACTTTAGCACCAGTAAAGTCATCCATAACAAGACGAGTTAGCATAGTTCAGTATTTAAGAGAGAGCTGGATGAAACGGAAAAAGTTTCTAATTTATGAGCAGTATCTGAAAGACACGCTTACTAGAATTCAAAGACCAGATGGGGCCTGAGAGATACATGATCCATCAGCCGATCTTCTCCTGTATGGGACGTATCACACTGACCATTTGTTGTGTGTGTGTGTGTGTTTGGTTTTTATTCTGCTCTGCCACCTGCTTCAGCTCAGCTCCTGTGTGTTTACAGAGCCGTGGCATTTCTTGAAACTCTGGAGATGTCATCGGAGAACGAGGCCATGTGGAAGAAGCTCAGCAAGTTGGCTCTGGAGGCTGGGCAGCTGCACATCGCAGAGAGGTTAGCATGACGCTGCGCCACCACGCTAATGATGTTCTTCTCTATGAACATTTAGCCTAAACCTTCTTCTAGAGATTCCACGTTGTTGGTAATCCAAGTCTACACACACACACACACACACACACACACACACACACACCAGATGGCGTGTCCCTGCCTGACCTCCTTTTCAAACTTCACTTATTATCCAAGACAGTTTTTAATTCTCTATCATTCTCTCACTCCCTCCGTCTTTATTCTCTGTGTTGAGGAACCCTTCAGATCTGAACTCGCTGTTATTAATAATGCATATGCTGTTAGTTAGGCTTCGGCTTCATTTGCATAAATCACAAAATCCTGGGAAGAAGCGGTTTTGTCTGCAGAGTGTGATGTTAATGAGGAGGGGGTGAGGAAGACTCAGACGCAGGGACTTTTATTTTTAACTTTCTTCGTCTTTCATGACCTCTTCATTAATCTGATGCAACTGTAGAGAGAGAGTTGCTCCTAAAGTCGTCGTTTGCGTTTCTCAGCCCTTAGATTGTATGGAAGCTAATTAGACTAATGCTCTAATTTATTTCAGGTCATTAAGTTTGCAGGTTTTCAGAGGTGCGATCTGCCTCCACGGAGCCTAATATGTCTCCCTTTGTCTCATTGTTCTGTGCAACTCTTCTCCTTTTGTCTGACTGTTTATTTGCTCTGTTTTGCAGATGTTTCGCCGCTCTGGGTGACGTCTCCACCGTTCGATTCCTCCGCCAAACAAACGAAATTGCGGACAAAGTTTCTCAGGAAACGGTGAGTTTTAAACACGCTTCACACACACGAGAGGCGGCATTAATGTCTCTGAATTATCCTCTGATTGTGAATGTTTGCGTACATTTAATAGTTTAATGCTGCTGAATAATTTAGCCGTAGCTTTAATGATTTATTCTTCTCATGATGAAAACAGAAACAGAATTTTCAGAGCATAAAACTACCAAGACACTTTCTTCTGGAATCATTATTAATAAAAATGAACTTGTGGAGAATATCATTGAGCCCTCCTCTTGAATATTTTCTACTAAAACAGCAGAAAAGTTGCTTTGAAACTTTTCCCACAGACTCCGAACAAGAGTAGCTCTCTGTGCTTTGTGCATATTTTAATCAGCGTCTCTGATTCTAATTAGGGAGAGGACGGGATGGCGTTTTACAAGGTCCAGGCTCGTGTGGCCCTTCTGGACAAGAACTTTCCACTTGCTGAGAAGCATTACCTGACACAGGTAGGGAAACATAAAGGAGGTGACCCAGAAATAAGACATCAGATTAGATGGAGAGACTCCATTTATTTGGTTGATGTGTTTTTAACTCATAGAACTGCATCGATGAAGCCATCGAGATGTACCAGGAGCTCCACATGTGGGACGACTGCATCGCCTTGGCTGAAGCTAAAGTAAACATCCTGGATGTTTCATCTTTAAGGGTTCAGCTTTAACTCATTCACTGCCAATGACGACTAAAGTCGTCATTTGCATGTTTTTACTGTGTGGGCGTCGGAACGAGCCCCCGCGCCGTGAGAACAAACATCCCAGCTCTAAAGTCTATCTTCGTCCACATACGTCACACGTCATGTGATCAGGAAGCAGAAAATCCATGTGTTAGGAGATCGTTTTGAGCCGCTGCTGTAAAAAAAAAAAAAAGTGAGGCGTGAACCGGAAAAGCTTCTGCCGATCACAATTCAACAACGGTTTATGAAAGAACGGAAAACGCTCGAAACGCGCGGATTCTTCCTGATCTAAGAGGTGAGTCTGCACTTTGTTTTGGTTGTTTTGGTTGTTTTGGCGTCGACGTCATCCTACCGCGCAACGTTCTGTGACTCTTTAAAAAACAGTAAAAACAGCTAGAAATGCTGGCAGCGAATGGCTTTAGCGATCAGGAAATGGCTGGCAGTGAATGAGTTAAGGGTTCAGCTTTAAAGGGAATATATAGTACAAATCTGACTTCCATGTTTGTCTCTACTGCCTTTATAAACACTCCAAACGTGTAAAAAAAACAGCCAGACGCTGTCTGTCTGTGATTGATTTCAGGAATTATGTGGATAAAACAGGCAGTTTCAAAGTGTCCCTTATTGTGATGTCACAATAAGGAAACTTCACAAAGAACACACCTTCCCCTGTTGGCACTGGAGGAGCAGCAGCTCTACTCTGAGCCCCTCCCTGATATCTGAGCCTCTCTCTTTATAGCAGCCAATCAGGGGGCATGGCCAGCAACCGTTAGTTTTCTTAAAGAGACAGAGTCCTGAAACAACTCATTCTGGAAGGTGCTGAAAATGTCATGAATCAAACTGCTGAGGTCACTTTTTGCGTCGGTTAGGGAAAGAGTTAGTGATCATTTTAATCAGAGGATTCATTTTTAAAGTGACTACAAGCGGCTCTGATTGCTTAACAAATTCTTCAGTCTTTATTGCTCTTTAAATCCAAATAAAAAAACAAATTATCTTGTCTTTATTATGTTTGTACTAAACTGTAATCATATAATACAGAAAAGGTGGAGGCACCACGATGCCTCCAGGATCTGGAAAGAGCTTCAAGTCAGGCATCTCTTTCTCATCTTCATCAATAATTCATCCCTGTCTAAAAACATATAGTTTACGGTTTAATCAGCTGCTGTTAACTCCAACATGAACTCTGATCCCGACTCAGGCCCACCCAGAGCTGAACGGTTTGAGAGGAAAATACTTCCAGTGGCTGACAGAGACGGGCCAGCATGACAAGGCTGGCGAGGTGAAGGAGGGCCAGGGGGACTATCAGGGGGCCATAAACCTCTATCTGAAGGCCGGACTTCCCACCAAAGCTGCTCGCCTGGCCATCAGCCATCCGGAGATCGCCAGCAGCGCCGAGACGGTCGACCGCATCGCCACCAGTCTCATCGAGAGACTGTTTTATGAGCGGGTGAGGATAAGCAGAGGGAGTGACTCACATCTGTGGCGGTTTTTCTAAATGAAACATCCAGAAAGTAACTAATGCCAACCCGATTCAAGATGGCCGCCTTGGCCAATCGACTTTAAAACACAAAAATGGCAGAAATTCAGTTGACTTGACAGATATTGAACAGTTATCACAAGATTTGACCAAAAGAAGTTAGATGACGGTGTGTTGTTTCCTAATCAGGCAGGAGATCTGTACGAGACGACCAAGAACTACCAGAGAGCTCTGGAGTGTCATCGCAAAGGAGGAGCGTTCAGGAAAGGTGAAACATGATTAACCAATCAGGTCGACGCTTCAGTCGAGTATTTAGTTCTTTTGTTTTGAGGTGAAGTTTCTCCATCCTGCTTCCTGTAGCGGTGGAGCTGGCTCGCATCGTCTGCCCAGGCGAGCTGAGGAAACTGGAGGAGTCCTGGGGAGACTACCTCGTCCAGCAGAAGCAGATGGATGCCGCCATCAACCACTTCATTGAAGCACGGTGGGTAGTGAAGAGGAGGGATGAAGGAAAAGGAGTGAGAAGACAAAGATGAGGACAGATGGAGAGGAAGAAATGAAACACGCAGCACAGAGAGCCAAAAAGTCCTATTTTAAATCATCACCAGGACCATCAAACAGACGAGATCTTTAAATATCCCCAAATATAGATGTGTAGTCAGAGCCCAGAGTCTTTAGTTTCCCCAAAGCCGAAACATCTCCTTGCACCAATAAAAAAACTAATGTTTTACTGTGAAATCAGAAAAGTTTTTTAGTTCAAACCAGTTCTTTTACTTTCACCAAAAGCTGCTACTGCAACATTTCTGTTTGGACACAAATACTCGTCTCTGCTCGCACCTTCTCAGCTGCACCGATAAAGCCATCGAGGCGGCGATCGCAGCTCGTCAGTGGAAGATCGCCGTCCAGATCCTGGACCAACAGGAGGACTCGTATGCCGGAAAGTTCTACCAGCAGATCGCTCAGCACTACGCCTCCACGCAGGACTACCAGGTGAGAGGAGGAGGGAAAAGTGTTGCTCCTGTACGGATGTCACAAATATTTAAAAAATCCTTTTATTTTTGTCTACCCTCATATCATTCATGAGCACAGAAGCTGACTAAAACTCCTGTTTTAAACTCCTCCAGCAGCTCAAAGGTGCAGTATGTAAGAATATAATGAGAATTTTACAGTGAAAAAATCCCAAAGGAGTCTTAATGTTTCAGTCATTTAGGAAGGAAGGTTCTACTGGAACACATTTCATATCCAGCTGCTGGATCGTCAGTTTTTTTCCTTTCCAAACAACGAAAGGAGGGACGTAACTGTCAAATGTGGCTGATTGTGTGGGCAGAACAGGGGCGCCTCCAGAAAATTTAGATAGAGGTGGCCAGATGGGGCCAAAGAAATGATTGGGGTGGTACACCAAATTGGTCCTTGTGGTAATTCCTGGAGAATTTAGCCTGCAGCGATGTATTGCATTATTCATTTTTATTTAACAAAAGCAGTACATATCCAAAACATTTAACTTAAATTTAACAAACACAAACATTTTAGAAAAATACATTTCAGTTATTTAAAATGTTTTCCCAAATTGAATAAAAAAAAAATTTTTTTAGGTTTATTCACCTGTGTTGCTGTGTTCACAAAAAAAAGGAAATACTATTGAGATAAAAACATTTTTAAAATGGTGAGCAGCAGAAACATATGTATATTTTTTTATTCCGATTATTTCTTTACTTATTAATTGAAATATTTTTATTTTGTTTTACAATTATGTCTTGAATAAACAAGATTAATATATGGTTTGATTGAACATTAATATGATTTGTTAACACCGGCTTTTCCTGGGGAGGGCAGCAATTTTCTAGGGGTTGCCATGGCCACACTTGGCCACCCCTTGGGGGTGCCCTTGGGGCAGAAAGGGGATTTTGTGAACATCGTTCATCCACAGGTGAATTTTAAAGGTAGTGAGAGCGTTTGAACCTTGAATCGTCTTTGTTTTTTACCACTTGGGTTTCTTCTCTGTTCTTCTCTGAGGCGTGTCTGCAAACGTCCACATAAGAACCAGTTCTAACGTTCGCCTCTGTCATGCTGTGGATTGATTTTTCATAAGTTTGGTGGTTTTAACTATAAATGTGATCATTTCTCAACACAAAACCTCCTGAGCATGACTGCTGCAGCTGAAAAGAAAATGAGAGAAGCTGATGTAAGTCATAGAGAACAGGAAGCAGACGATGGTGTTGATGCACACGGTGTGTTGTTCTGGTTGTGATGAGTTCAGCTGAGCCAACCAGCCTCCACACGCCGTCAGCCTCCGAAAATAGCATCCGACTGCAGTCAGATCGCTCTATGGGCACATTCACAGAAAGTAATTAAGATAACAAGCTCTTTGCTCTTTGACGTCTGGAAGATGCCAGAAAGTGCAGCTTAGTGTAAATTATAAATAATAAAAGAAACACACGCGTCAGGTGTTTATCTGTTTAAAAAAAGATTCTGAAGGAAAAGTGACTAAACGATTTATTATCAGAACAGGAATGACAAACTCTTTTGTTTGAGCTGCAGCTCGTTATTGCAGATTTTGTGTAGTTTTAATGCTGCAGAAAAGTACAAGCTGACCAACATGCATTTATATATATATGATAATGTGGTGGTTTTATGTTTGACCTGCAGGTGGCAGAACAGCTGTTTGTGAAAGGGGGTCATTTTAAAGAGGCTGTGGACATGTACACTGCTGTTGGACAATGGGAGAAGGCTCACAAGGTCAGAAAGGACTCACTAAAGGTCATCAGATACACATCATTATTTGTTAAATGCACCTCATGATGGCCCAAACCAGCAACCCTCCACCTCCATGCTGACAGCTGTGCCGATACGCCTTTGGCTTTGGCAAACATGCTGCTGTGCATTATGGGTAAACATTCTCCCAGGAGTCTTGTGGTTCATTCAGATGACGAGATCAAGTCATACCTGAGCCCTTTATCGTTAGCCTGCTAACTGAGACCAGTGGAGTCCCAGATGAGCCCCTGGGGTTTATCGCCCTTTCTTTAGGTGTTGACCTCTGACCTCAGGTGAATTTTGGATCGTCCACTCATATAAAATGTATATGCTGTCTTTCTTTCTGAAGAATGGTGGACTCCAAAGGGTTAACTCTTCTCAGATTGAGCAGTTCCTTCTCTAAGGCCGATGTCTTTCCCTCGTGTGTTAACACATGCATGTATGCTCCAGACCAGCAAACCAACCAATACCTGCTTTTGCTCTCAGTGACGAAGGACTTTTATCACACACAACTCTCCCTTTTAGATTAATTTTGGGTGTTAATATAATTTTCATGCCAGAATTATTTGCATCTTGGTCGTTAATCTGTTTTTGTGCAGCTTGCTGGGAAGTGTATGACGGAGGAGGAAGTTACAGCTCTGTATGTCAGCAAAGCTCAGGACCTGGAGAATGACGGAAAACTCAAGGAGGCAGAGAGGTGAACTCACTCAGGCTAACTTCTCACTGCCATCAAACGTCCAGAACTCAACTTTTATTCATGTGTTTGTCTTACAGGCTGTTTTCTGCTGTGAACCAGGCAGACCTGGCCATCACCATGTACAAGAAGAACCGGATGTTTGATGATGTCATTCGTCTGGTGGCCAAACATCATCCAGACCTGCTGTCAACGACTCACCTTCACCTGGCCAAGGCAACGCGCGCGCACGCACACACACACACACACACACACACACACACACACACACACACACACACACACACACACACACACACACACACACACACACGCACACGCACACACACAGGCTCACAACGACATTGTGACATCATATGGTACCAGCTAACATTCTAGGGTACCCCTTAGCCAATAGCGATGGCAGATTTAAATTCAAATGCAGTGCAGAGTTTTTACCTGACAACGGCACAACACTGACAGTTTTAGGCAGAAAATTAAAATTTTAACTAAAATGCACTGAAGTGCATAACTACTGACTACACGTGTCTGCAGCACGATTAGACACACGTGTATATAGTTTATCAGGAAAATAAGTTGATTTGGGGGTGACTTGCTCTTTATATTTATCAGTTGCCATCGCTACGTAGGGTATTTCAAGCTATGTGGCAAAAAAGGTTCCAGAACCAAAATCTCAGTTCCATGAGTGTAATGTGATGCTCTCTCTGTGCTTAATGTGACACTCATGCTGATGCTTTTGGTAAATATTCTTTTTTGCAGGAGTTGGAGGATGAATCCCGGTTCAGGGAAGCGGAGTACCACTTGATGGAGGCTGGAGAGTGGAAGATGGCCATCCTCATGTACCGGGACCACGATATGTGGGAGGATGCGCACAGAGTATGTTCATCACACCTGTTTGTTTTGAAACACCTGTAAACTGAACTCTGGTGTGTTTTAAACCACTTGCATCTCCATCCAAAGAACAAGTTCTTGTTTGTTCGTTTTACTTTGGCCGTGTTCGAGATGAGCCACTGCTGCACAGATTAGACCACTGGTGATCGGCGCGCAGTGCTTGCCGGTTAGATTTGTGTCCGACTTGACGCCGACTTGCTCTGACGTCATGCATGCGTAGGCAACGATAAACTCGAGAGATCAAGGCAGCTGCAGATTTTGGAGCAAGGCGCTGCAGTTGCTCTCCACCGGCTGCAAAACCTAGAGGATGACGGGAAACGCCTGGCTCTCACCTGATCTAAGATCTGATTGGTTCACATTTTGATCCGAACATCCGGTGGTAGAACATGAAATGTTAGTTGGTCACATGTATTCTGTAAATCATGTAACGTTGATGATGACAACTATATAGGCCATAAAGAGAAATGTGTTCTGTGTTCTTTTGTCACGTTTCCTACGAGCACACTAACAGCTGATAACCTTAACTTATTATTACAGTCATGTCTCCATATACAATATATGATATCCACAAGCACGTGAGGGTGTGTTTCAGCTGCTAACAGGCACCAGAATTAAAATAAAGAATTAAACAAGTATGAACGCTAACGCAATATCTTCTTCATCCATCATCACCTGCGAGCTGAAATCTGTCCGACTTAAACGCCGACTTTCAGCCACTCCTCCTGCTGCGTCCGTCTGTTTTCCAGGTGAGGTGCTGCTCAACTCGAACAAGGCCTTTGACTTTAAGCCCCGCCCCTCCACGTAAACAATTCTGCTGACTAAAACCTAAACGCAATATAAAAACAACTGACCAGCACCCGTTTTCCTGTTGGAAGTTGACTGAAATGTGTTACTGGTTTAAACACACCATAAACAATTTGTTTGTTAACCCTCTGGAGGCAGGCGTTGCAGATTTGGAACGTTAAATCCTACCTACCTGGTTACCTCCACACACGTATTTCAGGAGCATTTTTCAACTCAGAAGTACCCCTGAAGAACTTAGTTGTTCGTCCTTTTATCAAAACTTATTTAGAGCCTGAGAGGGTAAAATCTCATAAAAACGAGCCTGGTCGTCAAAGACAATGAGAAACACAAAAAAAGTTTGCTTTCTTTTTTGAAAATTGAAGAACAGATTAGATGTTTAGAAGCACTAGCTGCTGTCAGATGTCTTTCTCTGTGATAAATAAGCAGTTACGTCACTCGTCAGGTGGCGAAGAGTCATGGAGGCGCTGGAGCCCAGAAGCAGTTGACCTTCATGTGGGCCCAAAGCCTGGGAGGAGAGGCCGCCGTCAAGCTGCTGAACAGATTCAGCCTGCTGGACTACGCCATCGATTTCGCTACTAATAACTAGTGAGCACCCAGGCAACACGCAAAAACAAACCACAAGACTTTAAGTCCTTTGAGACACTTTTCTGCTTTTTTCCCAGCTTTTTTGACTTTGCCTTCGACTTGGCTCGTCTCTCACGTAAGGAGAAGATTCCCGACATCCACCTGAAGCAGGCCATCTACCTGGAAGACGAGGTGAATCTGTCACATGCATCCATCTTTCGGCTGTATCAAATTAGTCCCTTTATACAACCAGCAGCCACAGAGAGAGGGGGGTGTTTACAGGCTTGATGTGATTAGAAATCAATGTTCAACACTTTGTAATGAGGCCCGGCTCATTAAAACCCGTTTAACACCTGAGAAAGTCTGCTCCCATCAGAATACAGCTCCAGCTTCTCCTATTATCATTGTTAGAAATGTGATCAGCTGCTCAGTCATATTATCACCACCCAGGCTCAGCTGCCACTGAGAGCATTAATCCTTAAATCTGACATGTTTCATTTTCACAGGAAAGGCTTCCCGAGGCGGAGGTCGAGTTTATTAAAGCAGGAAAACCAAAAGAAGCCGTTTCTATGTGAGTCCGACCGCCTTAACACACTTAGACACGAGTTTCACTCTCAGGCCGACAGTCAGAGGCTCGACTCTGGTGCAGCGGTGAAAAGTATCAAGATCAGAGAAAAAGGAGAATTCAACAGGTTCTAAGATTTAACAGGAAAAGGTTTCAACACACGACGTGTCTGTCACCTAACCCTCTGCAAGCCTTCCATTCACACGCACTCCTCACACATGGTAAATGGTAAATGGCTTGTATTTGTATTGCGCCTTCTTAGGGTTCTACAACCCCCCAAGGCGCTTCACAACACAATCAGACATCCACCCATTCACACACTGGTGGAGATGAGCTACGACGTAGCTACAGCTGGCCTGGGGCGCACTGACAGAGGTGAGGCTGCCGAGCACAGGCGCCACCGGTCCCTCTGACCACCTGCAGCAGACAGAGCGGGTGAAGTATCTTGCTTAAGGGCACAACAGCAGAATTCTCTGGTCAGAGCCGGGATCGAACCTACAATCTTCCGATTGCTGGACAACCCGCTCTCCCTCCTGAGCTACTGCTGTCCCACAGTCTCGCAGCTTGGGGTCATCATAGAAAAGCAAACTGGAAAATATAAGCATGGGCCCGAAGCTCGGCGTGGGTTTTTAATGGTAGGGCAAGATGAGCCTGAAAAAACCCATTCAGCCATGCTACATTTAGAAAAAAACACAATCCAAAGATCAAACCCCTTCCCTCAGGCTCCACCCCATAAGCCACCCCCCCTGAGTAGAGGGAAATGCCGGACACAAGAGATACTGTGAAAGACCCATAAAACATAACACTACCTTACCTGTTCCACTTGTTGTTGCATCTTTTCCGTCATAATTCCCGACGTAACGCACCTACGTAACAGCCTCTAGGCTTCTGGCTGACTCCTCACGGTCCGGGGCCGGTCTGGACTTCTCCGGTCTCTCACCTCACTGAAAGTTCATAATAGAGACGCTACAGGGACCTAGATTGGAGATCTACTGGAGAGAGCTGTGTTTGTTACACTGGAAACCCCCTCCGCCACTTCTGCTGAGGCTACGTAACGAATGCTAGCTACTACAGGTAACCCGGCTCTGGATCCACTTCCTGTTCAGCTGCTCCAAGCTGACGACGCGGGATTCCTACACACAGAGGGGCGTGTGCAGAGGGGGGAGGGACGGTCAGATGGATCAGGATCCAGTCATTAAAAATGGGACCTTCACAATGACTGGATGAGGGTTTTAGAATGTTTCAGAGGTGATTCAAATTATTCTTTTTCTTTGGACTAAACATTCAATTTATTGGATTTCAATGAATACGGCCAGAAAAACATCTGCTGCTGCACCTTTAACTCACAGTTTATCTCTACAACCTATGTGTACAGTGGCGGCGCCAGGGGGGTGCTAGGGGTTGCTATAGCTACCCCTGGATAAGTCATTGCACCCCCAAGTAATTATTAGATTTTTTTTTTTACAATTTAATTTTAATTTAATGTGTGGATGCTAAAACAGGAAATTGATGTTAACCTTTGACCTCATTTTCCACCTGTGAACGAGAGAAAGGTAGAGCTAGTGGTTTTTGTTGCCCACATTTCCACGGGTTCAGTCAGAAATTAATGAATCTTTGGAAGTGATCTCAGACCCACAAAAACCTACAGATCTGGATGAAGAGAGTCGACCCTCAACTGCTGCAGCAGTCGAGGGTTTTGCCACTGGAAATGCTAACACTAACCTTAGCTACCTTGCAACACTATAGATGTTTTTCTGTGTGGCTGTATGTGTTTATGATTTCATGGAAAGGTCAGCAATTGTTTACATGTTTATGATGTATATCAATGATTGTTTCAGGTGTTGTTGAGGTTTTGTGCACGCATGTGTATTTGCTAGTGTTGAAGGTGTTTTAGAGAACAATATGTACGCATGACCACTTCCTTCATTGCACCCTCAATAAAAAGACTAGCTCCTTCATAGCACCTGCAGAAAAACATTTCTGGAGCTGCCACTGTACGTGTATTATTTACGGTGGCCCTGAAGTGCAAATCACACCAACAAATCACTAAACACAACTACAAATTGAGAAGCACACAAACAAATAAGGATCACACAAACAAATAAAAAAAACACGAAAAAAATTAGAAAAACACAAAAATATTAAGAATAACACAAAGAAATTAAGAAACCGGAAAGGGGAGGTACCAGTCAGCCAGTTTCTTTGTGTTTTTCTAAATTTGTTTGTGTTTTTCTTAATTTGTTTGTGTTTTTCTAAATTTGATTGTGTTTTTCTTAATTTATTTGTGTTTTTCTTAATTTGTTTGTGTTTTTCTTAATTTATTTGTGTTTTTCTTAATTTGTTTGTGTTTTTCTGAATTTGTTTGAGTTTTTCTTAATTTATTTGTGTTTTTCTTATTTTGTTTGTGTTTTTCTAAATTTGTTTGTGTTTTTCTTAATTTGTTTGCGTTTTTCTAAAATTGTTTGTGTTTTTCTGAATTTGTTTGTGTTTTTCTAAATTTGTTTGTGTTTTTCTAAATTTGTTTGTGTTTTTCTTAATTTGTTTGTGTTTTCTTAGTTTATTTGTGTTTTTCTTAACTTGTTTGTGTTTTTCTTAATTTGTATGTGTTATTTTAGATATTTTTGTGTTTTTCTGATTTTTTTGTGTTATTCTTAATTTGTTTATGTGCTTCACAATTTGTAGTTGTGTTTAGTGATTTGTTGGTGTGATTTGCACTTCAGGGCCACTGTAATTATTGACTCAAAACTGGAACACAACTTTACAGAATAAACATCTGGTTTCATAAGAAATCTATTAAAACTATAATTTATTTTGTAGTGACTAAATCATGATTTACCAAAGGTTGGCATGTCTTCGTATTTTCTAACTTTCCTAACTTAGTTTGCTAAAAAACTCAAACGAATTAATGACCAAAAGTTTGAATCCAAACAGGAAGATGTCGATAGAGTTTTTAGTTCTGCTCCCGTGGGAACGTCTGTGTTTGTGCGGTTCAGGTACGTCCACATCAAGGACTGGGCCAGCGCTCAGCGAGTGGCCGAGAGCCACGATCCGGAGAGCGTTCCCGAGGTTCTGGTGGGCCAAGCCAAGTTCTGCTTCGAGCAGAAAGAGTTCCAGAAGTCCGAAGCATTCCTGCTCCGAGCGCAGAGACCGGAGCTGGCTGTCAAACTCTACAAGGTGAGTAAACGTTTCTATTTACCGGGCTTTTATTCTTTTAATGCTTTTATTTATTAGACGTGTGCATCTGGTACCAGGACGCAGACATGTGGAGTGATGCCATGCGGATCTGTAAGGAATATCTCCCCAACAAACTGTCGAGGCTGCAGGAGGAGTATGAAAGGGAGACGTCCAAGAAGGGAGACCGGTGAGATTATCCTAATCCTAATCCTTAACAACCATTTCTGCTCTCTTTATCACAAAATAATCTACCTAGAATTTCAAAACACCCGAGCCATGAAATCACCTAAATGATGAATAAATATCAGACTGGTCAGGACAAATAACTATTAGTGTTTCTACTTTTATTCATTTTTTATTTTACACGTCTATGTCCACTCGCTGGAAATGTTTATTAATGTTTGTGTTGGATTCTAGAGAAAGATCCAGATGGATCAGTGAACGTAACAAACGCTTAGAGCAGCTGAATGATCGGCTTTCTCCTTGTGTCATCCCGTCCGTCAGGCTTGAATAAAAAAATCTGATTTCTTTTCTGTTAGTTTTGATCCAAACTACAAACAACCAGCCCTCAAATGAAAAGAAAACCCAACAGATTCCTGCAGCAGCTTGTAGATCCGACTCGTCTGTATTTGATCAGACTTTATTCCCAGTTTCCTATCAGCAGCTCCATTTGAAGCTTTATTAAAACACGGCTCGCATGTTTTGTGGAAAACTCCCAACAAGGAAGAGCTCGTTAGCGAGCAGACCAGCAGCCTTCAGCTCGCTCCTCCTCCTGTTGCTTTAATGACTGGTGGAGAAAACATCAAAAGTCGCCAGTGGAGACGGACGAACATGAGGGTTAAAGTGGAAAAGAGCAAACCTGAATTATTCCTGCTACTGGGATTATTACAGTCATCCAGATTAGGTGTTTAATAGGGAACCTTTGACTCCTTATATTTCTGTTTCTACTTTGTTGTTTTTTTAAATCTTGATTTATTTTAGTTTATTTTGGGTTGCATTCACCATCAGATGGATGCCAACATAAAGGGTCAAATGGTTGGATGACTGAAATGTTTATTTTCGACATAAGACAACAAATCTTAAAAAGAATAATTACATGTAAATGTACAAAAATGTTATTTATTTAAAGAGCAAGTCACCCCCTACCAGAGTATTACTCCACCTCCACTTCCTGTTTGAAAAATGCAACAAATACTGTTGCCTAGCAGACCGAGAGGGCGGAGCCGCCAACAAATACACACACACACACACACACACACACACACACACACAGGATCACAAGGACATTGTGACATCATATGGTACCAGCTAACGTTCTAGGGTACCTCTTAGCCAATAGCGATGGCAGATTTTAATTCAACTGCAGTGCAGAGTTTTTACCCGACAACGGCACAACACTGACAGTTTTAGGCTGAAAATGAAAATTTTAACTAAAATACACTAAAGTGCAAAACTATTGACTACACGTGTCTGCAGCACGATTAGACACACATTTATATAGTTTATCAGAAAAAAAAGTTGATTTGGGGTGACTTGCTCTTTAAAATATGAATTTTCAGTATTGACACACATGTGAGGTCGGTCATTTCTTTTATTTTGAACTGGATATGTCCTGAACCCGACTCTGACCCCGATCTCGACTCTGGTCTTGGTCCTGATCCTGATGGGTTGTTGGTTTCAGGGGTGTGGAGGCTCTGCTGCAGCAGGCCAAGGAATGGGAGCAATCGGGAGAATATTCCCGAGCTGTGGAGTGCTACCTGAAGGTGAAGGATGACTCAAACATGGACCTGATGGAGAAGTACTGGATGAAGGTAAAAGACTTCTATAACCTGCTCAAGTTTGTGTTTTATTCATTATTATGTTTTCCCTGCTTCAAAAGGACTGTTTGGGTCAATAAACAATAATCAATAAATCCTCTGAGGAGTTTAAAAAGATCTATCTGAGTCTTTTAATCAGAACTTTCCTGATTGAGCTGTTGGACAACCCAGAATCCCAGATGAGTTTCCATTTGAAAACGGTGGCTCTAAATGTTCCAGTAAACACGACCTAGTTTATTTTTTATGCTCAGAGATGTTTGTTCTGTTTCTTCTCTGCAACACCAACAAAACCCAACAAACAGAGGAAACGTAATGGTGTGTGTGTGTCTTTAGGCTGCAGAGCTGTCCATCAAATTCCTGAGTGGAGACCGAGCCGTGGAGGTGATCAAGGTCGTTGGGCCGCGACTCGCGGAGCTCGGGAAGTTCGATGCTGTGGGTGAAAACGCCGCTCTGCCAGATCCGTTCGTGACCGACCCTGTTTCACCTTTCGGTCTCTGTTTGTGTTGAAGGCGGCTGAGGTCTACCTGAATGTGGATCTCATCAAAGAGACCATCGACGTCTTCATCCAGGGGGAGAAGTGGAACAAAGCCAAGAGAGTTGCCAAGGAGCTCGAGCCGAGGTTCCTCAAGCGCACAAACGCACACACGTTACCATGGTTACCACACTCAAAACACTCACACGAATCAGAAATGAGAAATACTCAACGTCTGATGCTGCTTTTGTGCAGATATGAGAGCTACGTGGACCAGAAGTACAAAGAACACCTTAAAAACCAGGGCAGAGTAGAGTCTGTGAGTATTGGTGCAAATTTGAACTAAAACAAGCCTTCAGAATCATTAAAAACAAATAATTGGTGCATGAATGTGACATATTTCATTGAAATAGAACAAAATATTTCAAATAAACAAATATTTATTCCTATTTCAGACCAGATTTCATTGTTGGAGACTTTGTGGGGTTTCTTGACAGCTTTGCAGCATTTTTGCACATCAGAAATGTTTATTTTTTGCTGATGTCATTCAACAAATGCAAACAGGACCAGATAGAAGGTCTAAACTTCCAATTAGAAGCTTCATGCTGTGTTTGGTGGAAATGACAAGCTGTTGTTGTGACTGTGTTCAGCTGGCGGGTGTGGACGTCATGGCGGCTCTGGATCTGTACGCAGAGAAAGGCCAGTGGGAGAAATGTCTGGAGATGGCGTCCAAACAGGTAGCCAGCAGCCAATCAGCATCTATGTGTGTTACATCACTACTCGCTTTAGTTACCCAGAGTTTAAACGTAAATAAAATCTATAAAAGTTTAGGATTATTGAAATACGATTCATGCTTTGAGCATTTTTGTTACAAGTCTAATTCTAAACCAGTTTTACTGGAATTATATTAAATGATTTTTTTATCAGGACATCTTTGTTTTGCTCATTTATAAAAGAAAAGAATTTAGTTTCATTACCTCACACAGTTCCATCAAATAATAACCTTTTATTAGTGGTGACTAATATTGTTACATAATAACTAAAATAGGTAACTTTAAATTTCATTTACTAATTAATTATATCTTCATTCATGTTACAGACATTTTAACTTTTATATTATATTATATTACATTAGATTACATTACATTATATTATATTATATTACATTATATTACAGTATATTATAATATATTATAATATATTATAATATAATGCTTTATAGCTTTATAGCTGCTTTTTAAGGCGATGGCCCTGTTTGATTACCTGGATATGCTTTAGTGTCTTGACCAGGACTCCATTGAAAATGAGGTTTTTAATCTGAATGGGACCTTCCTGGTTAAATAAATAAATGATCTCCTGCAGCCTGAAGCAGAAATGTTTTTTTTTCTTTCTCAGAACTTTAAGATCCTGCATAAATACATCGCTCTGTACGCCACACATCTCATTAAAGCAGGGGAAGCTGTGAGAGCTCTGGAGTTATATGTACAGCACGGAGCTCCACCCAACCCTCAGGTGAACACACACGCGCACACACACACACACACACACACACACACACACACACACACACACACACACACACACACACACACACACACACACACACACACACACACACACACACACACATGTTGTTCTACAGCCTTAACACTTCAGAAACATGTTTGTTAATTTTCAGAACTTTAACATCTACAAGCGCCTGTTCCTGGATCTGATTAACCTCCCAGACACCGACAAGCCAGATGCTTACCGCATGTGGGCCGACCTCAGGAACTTCCTGCTGCAGCTGGTAAATCCCACCTGTGTAAAACAAGTCACCTGGTCCCGTCCTGCAGTAACCCGCTGAACGTCCTGATTTCAGTGTGACAACGTGTCCAAATCCGCTGAGGCCAACTCTCCAGCTCATGAGGACTTTGAACAGATGCTGCTGATCTCTCACTACTTCGCCACTCGATCTGCTACTAAAGGAGTGGAACAGCTGGTACACAAGCTCTGGGTTTGATTAACCAGCCTGACCCTTTGGTCCCAGCTGGCCCACATGTCTGAACCTCTGATCAGTCTTTGATGATTCATGAAAGGATTCTGTCTAAGTTTTGCTTTTCAGTTTTTCCTCTGCTGTGTGTATTTGTAGATGAGCATATCGGCCAAGCTGTCGGTGTCTCTGCTGCGTCACACTGACCTCATTCCTGCTGATAAAGCTTTCTACGAAGCCGGCCTGGCCTGCAGGGTGAGAAATCCTTCATTTATTCCAGTTACAGTTGCTTCTATTGATGGGAAAACTCTTGATTCTCTCAGTAAATGGATGTAAAATAACATTTCCTGAGTTTTATGTACACTACTCACAAGCATTAAAGGAACACTTTTTTTATTGGGCCTGGCATGAAATCAATTAAACATGTCTGATAATTTCCTGGTTGATTAAGCAGCTGAGGACATTGTTAATCACTTTCAGCTGTATTGGTGTTCATGGATTTAACGACAGGTGCACTAAAGTGGCAACAATTACAAAACCCTCAAAACAGGACTGTTTTTTTTCTCTCTCCGTGTCCTGTCAGGCTGTGAAGCAAACAGAATTGATGTCTGAATGCTGGTGACAAGCCTTACAGATTTACTCTCACCCCTCCTTTCCACCGGAGCCGTCAGCAGCACGTTACTGCAGCAGCACGTCTTGCTCGCGTATGCTGCTGCTTGGCCCTTCCCACGAGACGCGAAGCAGCAGGGGAGCAGCTGTCACCGACAGAGCACGAAGTCACGCGACATTAGCAAAATCACGCGTGACTTCGTCAGTGAACATAACAACAAGCAGGAGTAATCACTTCAGTAATCAACCTTTCGTCGTCCATTATGGAAAAACAAAGGAGACCGCTAGCTAGGTGATAACTTTTTTTTAAAGTAAAGCAACCGGAAGGCAGTACGTTTCTTTATTCTGAAAATCTCGGGAACTTGACCCGTTTCAGAAGCGTATCGCGTAGAAAATAGAACCGTGCGTAAGGGCCGCAACATGCTGCTCCTGAGACGCGGCCGACTCGCGCTGCTGACGGCTCTGGTGGAAAAGGTTCTGTTGACCACAGCGGTTCCTATCAGCAGCTACGATGTGCTGCTGCAGTAACGCGCTGCTGACGGCTCCGGTGGAAAGAAGGGGTCAGGTGGAGCATCAAAGCGTCTGCTTTTAATGTCACGCCTGATACTTAAAACTTTATTGTTATTGTTTTTGAATGATTTGTAATTCTGACCAGACACGGAGACAGAGGTGAAAGAGAAGGGAAGAGACAAAAGTGTGTGTGTGTGTGGGTGGGTGGGGTGGGGGTGGGGGGTGGGGGGGTGGGGGGTCAGAGAGGTGCTGATACTAATACTTTTGAAGCCTTCATGTTTTCTTATGCTTGAGCTAATAAATGGTAAGTCTGAAAGCTCTAGCTTATTGCAAACTGTCTGTTCTATGTCTAAACAGGACTGGTTTAACATGTAGAGGTCATTTCAAGTTTCTCCCTCTTGATCTTTTTCGGCTGGTTTTCCACTCGTGCTAGTTTTGGCTCTCTACTGGCAGTATGAGGCGATTCCTTAACCCTGCAGAAGTTGCACAGGTTGTCCAACTTCTCCAGGATGGTACGTCCACACGTGCTGCAGCAAGAAGGTTTAATGTGTCTCCCAGCACAATCTCCAGAACATGGAGGAGATTTCAGGAGACTGGCGGTTATTCTCGGAGAGCTGGACAGGGCTGCAGAAGGTCCCCAACCCATCAGCAGGACCGATGCCTGCTCCTTTGTGCAAGGCGGAACAGGCTGAGCACTGCTCGTGCCCTACAGAATGACCTCCAGAGGGCCTCTGGTGTGAATGTCTCTACCCAAACAATCAGGAACAGACTTCATGAAGATGGTCTGAGGGCCCGACATCCTGTAGTGGGCCCTGTGCTCACTGCCCAGCACCGTAGAGCTGGACTGGCATTTGCTCAAGAACACCAGAACTGGCAAGTCCGCCACTGGCGCCCTGTACTTTTTACAGATGAGAGCAGGTTCACCTTGAGCACCTGGGATAGACGTGAAAGAGTCTGGAGAAGACGAGGAGAACGTTATGCTGCCTGCAACGTCGTTCAACATGACAGGTTTGGTGGTGGGTCAGTGATGGTCTGGAGAGGCATATCCATGTAGGGACGCGCGGACCTCTACTGCCTAGGAAATGGTGCTCTGACTGCCATAAGGTATCGAGATGAAATCCTTGAACCCTTTGTCAGACGCTACGCTGATGCAGCAGGTCCTGGTTTTCTCCTAATGCACGACAATGCCCGGCCTCATGTGGCAAGAGTATGCAGGCAGCACCTGCAGGATGAAGGAATTGAAACAATTGAATGTTCTTCACGATCCCCTGACTTAAACCCAATAGAACATCTGTGGGACATGATGTTTCGGTCCATTAGGCGGCGCCAGGTTGCTCCTCAGACTGTGCTAGAGCTCAGGGATGCCCTCACACAGATCTGGGAGGAAATGCCACAAGACACCATCCGTTGTCTCATTAGGAGCATGTCCCGACGTTGTCAAGCATGCACACGAGCTTGTGGGGGGCCACACAATATACTGAAAAGCAATTTGAGTTGCAGGAATTAAGTTTTTGAAATGATGGACTAGCCTGCCACATCTTCATTTCACTCCGATTTTAGGGTGTCTACACAACTGAGCCCTCTGTAGGCTGATAACTTTTATTTCCATTAAAAGACTTGGCATCCTTTTGTTCCTAAGACATTGCCCTGTCGTTATTTGTATAGATATCCAACTTCATATTGAGATCTGATGTATCTAATGTGTTTCTTTAAAGTGTTCCTTTAATTTTTGTGAGCAGTGTATATTATTTGTGTTTAAAGAGCAAGTCACCCCCTACAAGAAACTTACTTCACAACTTACTTCACTTCCACTTCCTGTTTGAAAAAGGCGAACAAATGCTGTTGCCTAGCAGACTGAGAGGGCAGAGCTGCTAACAAATACACACACACACAGGCTCACAACGACATTGTGACATCATATGGTACCAGCTAACGTTCTAGGGTACCTCTTAGCCAATAGCGGTGGCAGATTTAAATTCAAATGCAGTGCAGAGTTTTTACCTGACAACGACACAACACTGACAGTTTTAGGAGGAAAATTAAAATTTTAACTAAAATGCACTAAAGTGCAAAACTATTGGCTACACGTGTCTGCAGCACGATCAGACACACATTTATATAGTTTATCAGAAAAAAAGGTTGATTTGGGGGTGACTTGCTCTTTAAGTTTCCCATCTCCTCAGTCAACACCTCATCTGGGAACTTCACATTCACCAGTTAGACTTTTGAACAGGACAAGGGTTGTTTTTCAGACGAAACCTGACGGGGTTTGTTCCATTTTCTTCATCTTTGCAGGCTGTTGGCTGGAAGAACATGGCCTTCATCTTTCTAAACCACTTCCTGGACCTGTGTGATGTGAGTCTCTGACTTCTGCTGATCCACCCTGACACCATCAGCAGTGGGGTTTTTCTTCTTCCTTCTCTGATCGCTCACTTCCTGTCTGCAGGCTGTTGACGATGGCACCCTGGATACTCTGGATCACTCTGACTTCCTAGATACCGACATTCCCTTAGAAGTTCCAGTTCCCACCAAACTATGTGTCTTTGTAAGCAGAACCGCCTCCACCCGTCTCACCGGGAATTACAGGCTGAGGGATGGAGACAATATCAGTGTTGTGCCACAAATCAGATCTGGTGCAGTTATTTTTTTCCTCCGGGGTTTAAATAAGAACAAATGTAGCTTTTCTAGATTCATGAAGTGTTTCTGTCAGCTGATCATCGGCTGTTCCATCCATCCGTTTCCAAGCATTCAGGCTCACAGGAGTCTTGACAGGGCGAGGCGAGGCGTGGGACAGATCTCATTTCAGAGATCAAAATGACCTGCTGGCTTATTTAATACATCTTATGAGGTTTATTATCATCATCATTTATAAATAACATTCAGCGCTGATGAACAGCTTTTGTTTACACATCATTCATAGTATTACTTAGGAACCATTTGAATGCTTCCTTTAAAATGCTAGTTAACGTTAGCAAACACAAAAACACGCACAACTCCTCTAACGTTCCAGTTATCCAGCTAAATCTGGGCGGGGAGTCGTAGATACCGGGAAGAACTCGTGATATGTTGTTTAGATCAACCCTGGCCTTTTTTTGATTTTGAACCGCAGTCACTTGCTGTGTTTTATGAACTGCAGGGCACCCAGCGGGAGCAGATCCGTGACTGGGTGCTGATGGTGTCGATGGACCAACGGCTGGCGCAGGTTCTTCCTCAAGATGAAAGGAATGCGTACGAAGCTTCTCTGGTGGCGCCAACGACGGGAGTTCGCTCTCTGCCTTGTGTTCTTACGGGTAACGAGCACCACAACCTTTTTAGCCGTCATTTTAATTTGATTGTTTCAAAATGTATATTTAAAGCTGCTTTCCAGAGGTTTCCTCTTTCAGAAATTATGTATGATTTGTCAGAAATCCGTAAAAGTGATTATCTCATCATGTACTGTGATATACATGGTGCTGATATACAGGCTGCATGGTGGCGCAGTGGTTAGCACTGTTGCCACGCAACACGAAGGTCGCAGGTTCGAAACTCGGCTGTGGCCTTTCTGCGTGGAGTTGCGTGTTCTCCCCATGCATGCGTGTGTTTTCTCCGGGTACTCCGGTTTCCCCCACAGATCACAACATGCCTTATAGGTTAAAAAAAAAGATTGTAAGTCGCTTTGGGTAAAAGCGTCTGCTAAGCACATAAACATAAACATAGTATAAGCAATACGTCTTTTTTTGTTTGTTGCTAAGCTCGCCCCCTGCCCGGCAGAGCTCTGTGCAATAGGAAACTGAGCGCCAACCAGAACTAACCAATAACATTAGACTGCCGCTTAGATGCTTCAAATTTAAGGAACATCTTGGCTGATGCAGAGTTGATGAACTTTTCACGGACAAGAAAGTCTCTAAAATATAAAAATATGAAAATACAACATGACATGAGATTAATACTCGTAAAACAACGTGTTTTAGCTCCGTTTGTTGGCTACAGAAGCACATTTATAAACAGAAACATGAAGTTGCCATCTTAAAAAAAACAAAGGAACAGCGTTTTTGTGTGATACGCTTGTCAGCCACTAGATGGTGCATTGGATAAGTGAAATACTCCAGAAAGAAGCTTTAAAGGCAAAGTGAGACAATTTTTTTTCCTACACAGGAAACTAAAACTAAAGCCTTCCTCCTCCACAGATTTAGGAATTCAGCCAATCAACATTTCTTTGTTACTTCTGAGTCCCTGAAAGGATGAAAACATGATTTATTCAAGCGGTTATTGGTAGTGAAGATCCCTGACTTCTGGATTTGTGACGTTTCTGCACCGAACAGGTTATCCGGTTCTTGGTGGTAAAATCGAGTTTTCATCTACGGGGAAAGCTGCCAACAAGGAAGACTGGAACAAATTCCTCATAGCCACAAAGGTGAGAGAGCAATGCTGATCTATTGTTCTACATTTGTTAAATAAATATATTTTTACATTACCAATATTAATCTCTATCTAAACTCTGGACTCAGCAGGAGATTTTCAGTTTTGTAGCATTTATTTGGCACCAACGAGTTTGAAGTTGGTTGTAATTTTTCCTGTGTCCACTATAGGTCACTAATCTATCCACACTGCTCCTTTAACCAACACCAGCTAGTTTTCTGACACTTTAGCAGCGTTTCCATAAATAGTGGGTGTTTTTCAATGCCAAGGAACCTCGCCTTGATGTCTTGGCCCCGCCCCGGTTTCCTAGGAGATACGTCATCGGGAGCCACCAAAACGTGTTCCAATGTTCATGTTCTACCGAGGCGTGTGTTCTCCGTTTGTTAGCCGTTTAGCTAGCTGAGCAAGGATACACGGGAGGTGTCTTGTAGCCTAGCCTTGGTCAAAAATTTACCCACAATACACTGCTGTATTTTTAAAAAGACGGTGGATCAGAAGCCGGGCAGCTACTTCGGGGACAATTTTCAAGTTTAAAAGTAAGTCAACTAATTTAAAATGTTTTTTTTTTAGATCTAAAGAAATTATCTATGGTTGGTTAGTTGCTTAGTAGTTGCAGCTTCGGTGGTTAGCGGGTAGTAACTCGCTTATATTTTTAATTTAATAAACATATACATAATTTAAAAAGTAAAAGGCTCATTATATATTTATATTGAAACTAATATATATGAAATATAACGTTATCTCCCGTGTCACGTGACGTTACGTCACGTCACCTCCGTGGAAGCCGCGGTCACGTGATGCAAGTCTGTTTCATTTAACCGTTTTCTTTGACCAAGGAAGGACAGTGTCCTCGTAAGCAAGGCGCCTGACATTGAGAAACACCCATATTTTGTGTCTGACCTTTATCTGTGTGTTTAATTTCCTGCAACTTCTTGGTTGGTTGTTGTTCTTCCTGCAGACCACTCACAGTCCCGAATGTCAGGACGTCCTCAAATTCCTCGAACAATGGTGTGGCAGTCTACCAGCATCCAGTTACTCCTTCCACTGATCCAAATGCACTCCAGCTTTATACAGAATTTATTTGTTTTATTACATGCTTTCATCTTTGTCAGAAACTACATTTTCTCCTCTTCTTTTCCCCGTTTCATGTCCGACTCGCCACCAGAATTGTTTGTGCATCGTTTATTAGTTTTTATTAAAGAATTTCTTTTGAAATTCATTAAAAATATTCAAAGCCTGGAAGATTTTCAGAACCCATTAAACAATAAATAAATAAAAAGCTGCATTTTTCTCTTAAATTTTATGTCTTGTTTCAAAGCGAGACTTTATGGTACATATGAAGCAGCAGCTTAGCTTAGCTTAGCTAGAATGGGAGAAGTTTAAAATGATCTTTTATCCTGCAAACCTTCAAATTTTAGATTAAAAACATATTTATATATTAAAAGTTGCTGATTTGGAACTACTTCTAGCTTGACTGAATCTTTTTCCATTTTCAGTTTTATGGTATGCTAAGCTAAACTAATGAGTTTTGAACCAAATGTTTTATTATTTTTAAACGTTTTCAAGCTGCAGATATGAAATAGCAGGCAATTTTAAAATGAATGGATTAAAAAAAATAATTCAAAGCTTTCTGTTCACACTGAAAAAAGGATTTTCAAACCTAAAGAAAGTATGACATTCATTAAACTCTGCTGATTCTTCAAAGGACTATTTAATGTATGTAGAGTGTCTTTTACCAGTGAGAGTGTGTTCTAAAGCCAGTAATGCCTTTAATGTGTGTTTGATATGTATTTTATTTCATTAAGCTCAAATAAAATAGTTTTCAAACTTAGTTTTTGTTATTTTGTCATGCCCCCGCTCCAGCCAAGCCCCGTTTCCCCAGCAACCTCATCCATACCACCTGCCTCGCATTAACTCCTCAGATCCACCTGAAACACTCTATGTAACACCAGGACTAACACCAAGCCTGTGCCAGATTATTGAAAGCTCACACCATTAAATTCTCCAGCACGCCAACCTCTGCCTGTACCGTAGATCCTGACCTCGTTTCTGTTCCTCGACCAACCCACGTGCCTGCTCCCTGCCTGGATTGTTTTCTCTGCCTCTGACCACCTGTATTCTCAACCTCGGATCATTCTCTGGATTCTGCCTCCTGCCTGCCCCTTCTCTCTCTGGTTTTGACCCACGCTTCCTCCTGACCCTGCCTCGGCCTTGCCCACCTCTGGTAAAACCTAGTTGTGGTTTCCTTTTAATAAGGACATTAATTAGCGCCTTACTGTGTCTTGGTGTCCTCACGGTTCCCCAAGTTCTGTTCTCAACAGATTTTCTGTTGAGGATTACAGATTAGCAGAAATGTTAACTGGTCAAGAGAAATGGATTTAATCCAAATTTTACAAGAAAATCCTGCATCAAAGAGTTTTATGACCTGTAAAGTGACATACATAGTCCTAAGACTAAAGGTAGAAATTAGAGCACAATAATTATATGGGAAAATTTAATGACATTTACTTCAAAAATGCTGGGTAAATTAAGAGTCCATGAGGCTGGAGACATCATCAATGTGAATGTTTGAATCAGGTGGACGATAAACCTCAGCACAGTAGAACAGGTCCTCATGCCCAACTTTAATCAGCTGTAGTGCAAAGGGAGAAAAGCGAGCTGAAGTTGCAGAGTGACATGGAAGATGGTCTCCAAAGACAACAGCCAACCCTCCTCCCCGACCGAAGGAAAAGCCTCTGGCCAGACCTGCTGCCAAACTTCAGTCAATAATTTCAGTCAAACCCGATAAGTTAATATAACTCAAAATTTTTGGTGAAACTGATTACATAAAAATGTTTAAGTAAATTAGACAAAAAAATTAAAGTTTAATAAACACGTTTTGTTAAGTAGATAGGGATAAATATTTTTAAGTGGCACTGACAAATGTTTTAGTGATTTATCCACATTTTGGGTTAAGTATTCTACTTAATATTTTTAAGTTTCAAGAGCAAATCTTAATTTAGTGCAATACACAAATTGTTGTACTATTTTTATGTATTAATATTTAATTTGAAAAGGTTAACTTTTTTAAGTTACATGTACGCAGTTTTACTTTACCACAAATGTCTGTATTATCTAGAAGTATTGTCTGTCAAATTGCATATGTACAGAAAAATTCAATCAGAAAACAATAAAACTTGTAAAAACACCACAAATTAAATTCCAGTTCAGAATGTAATGAATAATTTCAGAACAAAGTTTGTCTGACAGCGTGTCTTAACATTTGCAGATTGGGCTAAAATCCTCTTTTACCAGTAGCAAATGAATAGTAGACAATTTCTTTCCATCTATTTTCAAACAAAAAAATCCCTGGCAAGCCATAAAACAAAGAACTACAAGAAGTTACTGGAATAGTCAAAGAAATATCCAGGTTAAACACAATGCACAATATTAAATAATTTCACACCATATTTAACAGTATGCAAAAATAAATTAACAAATGTATTTGGCATTTTTATGTAAAAAAATTAAAAAGCCTCAGATAAAGTCCTCCATTATCAGACCTTAAAACTGGGCTACTGTCATCAGTGTCACAGTAGTCCTCATCACAGTCCTCATCTGAGACCTCATTGCGGTCCTCAACCCAGAACAGTTCCGGTTCTGTGTGTTGTTTCTTAAGGTGATGGAGTCTGGGAGGATTTTCAGCAGATGTTTGTCCCTCATTCCCAGAAAAGGAAACAGCTTTGGTCCAGGTAAGACATCAAGCGTGTGAATCGGGAAGTTTATAACATGGAACTGGAAGTATGAACAATAGATCTTCAGGCTGTTGGAGTAACGGTCCAGACAAACCCGGATCTTTTGGAACGGTAGCTCCAGTCCAGTGGAAGAACGTGAATGGAGCTGTATGGAGAGAAGGCTTTGTACTTGACTATCGCCCATAATCCAGACTTTGGGTCCAACCGTCTTTTTCTTTCGACAGACTGAAGCCACACCCAGAACCCAGTGCTGACTGTCCCCCACCTCCACCTCCCACCTGTGGACTCCCAAGTCTAAAACCCCTGGAGCTGAGGACCATGCAGGAGCTGTCAAACCTTTCTGGGTTGTCTGGAGGCGCTTGAGTCTGCCCCCGCTTTATGGATGTCGGATCTTCAGACAGCACGATTCCTGGATGAGCGGTGTAGGGATTCAGAGTCATTTGACTGTATGATGCTCTCTTGGTCCAAATGTTGAATCTCAGGTTTCCGAGGTGTTGAGCTTCATCTAGAAGAGTTCCTGAGGGTGGCTGCAGATCTGCTAGTGGGGGGAGCTGCTGAACACGCTCCACTGTAGCCCTGTAGCTCTTCAGAAAGGAGACATCTTCATTCCTCAGGTCCTCCTCTGTGGTCCTGATCATGTCTGACAGATCTGCTTTCTCTCTCCTCAGAGACTTGATCATCTTCACCGTCTCAAGCTTGCTGCTCTTCTCCTTCACAGCAGCGATCCTGACCATCTCCTCCTCATCTAGAAGCTCACGGAGCCTCTTGAATTCCTTCCTAATCTCCTTCTTTGTGCAATGAGCCTGAAGCTTTGTGTTTTTCTGTTTCTTCGTAGTTTTCTTGAGCCTGATTAAAGTTCTTCAGCTTCTCCTTCATTTGCTCCAAGGATTCCTGAAGCTCCTCTCTGAAACTTTGTGCTACCTCGTCGATGGGTTTGAAGATGTGATTGGAATGTTTGTCTGACTCTCTGTAGATGAGACAAGCTGATTCCTGATGGTCCACACTGCAGAACTTTTCAGGACTTTGGTCTCGCTCCAAAAAAAGGCCTCGCACAGGTTCTTCAAGGCCAAGTTAGTAGGAGGGTGCCGACTTTCAAATATGTGTTCACAGATGGAACATTGGCGCTCTTCTTTCCTGCTCCACCATCCTTGAAGGCAGGAGACACAGAAGCTGTGGCTGCACGACAGAAGAACTGGATCTTTGTAGACGTCGTAGCAGATGGGGCAGCAGAGGTTCTCATCTGATCTGGAGGCCATTTCTTGTCTGAGAGGAGCAGACAACATTCAGGAAGATGAAACTTGTCTGATGGAACCAGTTTGAATCCTGGTTTTGGGAAGACTCACAAGCGTTAAGATCCCAGTGCTCCGTCCTGAGAGACGGCACAGGTCTCGTCTTTAAACAGGAACAACTGGAGCGAGTAGGGAGGGACACATGTGTCACCTGTAATAAACCAGTTTGGAAGTTTCCATGGATGTTCCCACATTTCCTGAGGGCGTTTGGAAATCTTGATCCAGTGGAACTTTTCTAGTTTGAGTTTTGATTTAGTTTCTAAATTTTCAGTAAAAAGTCAAACTTATTTACTACAATTAGGGCATTTTTTTAAATTACTTTAGCAACTAAAAACCACATTTACTTATAAAACAATCCATATTTGTTCCCTTCAATAAAAGAACAGATGATAATTTAACTAAACTGCTGACTCAGAGCCTCAAGTCCCTTAAAGAGGTCCTTCGCTCATATTTTAATATATCTGCAGTGGCCTTTAGTGGGAATGCATGCCTTGTAAGTCGTACTCTGGGGAAAAAAGCTCAGGTGCATCGGTTTGAACATGGAGAACTCAGCCAGAGGAGCTTCAGATGACAGGATTTGGAGTCTTATTTCCTGAAATCTGGACATCTCTGCTTTGATTGGCTAACAGCAACACAACTCTACCACTGACTGTGGCTGTTTGCTGGAGTTGCTAATGCTAACAGTTAGCGTCTACTAGCCCAGACACGCTCTGCTGTTTCCTGGACGCTAAACCAACAACAGCCTTCCCCGTTGTGAGTCCAGATGGGTGAGTCCATGAATGTTAGTGACAGCGTGACGTAGATCTGTCAGGATTTTCTAATCCTAGAGTTTCACCGTCTGTTTTCTATCCGAAGCAAAATGGTTTCTCACCTCTTTAAAGACCTGTTTAGTGTTGGGAGAAAAGCTCTCCTCCCTGCAACAATTAACACTAATAACTAAATTAACTGTTTAAATCCCACTTTATACCATTAGACTCTGATATGAAGCTTCCTAAATTAAACCTGCTTGTTGAGCCTCAAGTTTCAGCTTTTATTCTGAAATTCCTTGAACTAGTTTTTTAAAATTCACTTTAGTGAGTGAACAAATATTCTGAGTCATGAATTTAATTATTTTATCTCTGAATAGAAATAGTTCAAGTTTTATTCAAGTAACTAAAATTAATTTAATCTATGATGGAAATTTTGTGGCAAAATATTAAATATTTGTACTTTTTATTTTTGTACAAATGCAGAAGACACACAAGCTAATCCTGATTTAGGTTTTATTTCTTTTTTCGTAATGTACAATATTATTATGAAGTAAGAACACTTGGATATAGTCAATTTTATTTACATTCAGTGTAAAAAATAAAGAGACCAAATAAAGATTTTGTTTATTTATTCTTCAGATTTCACATCAAACATTGTTCAACATTATTGAGTCACTGAGAGGAAAAATTGTTTTAATAAAATCAAACAAAAACAAAAATCTATAACTGAACATTTTAAAACATCAAATACCGATTTTAAACTTTGTTTTTGGTTCTTAAAACATTTTAAACAATGAATCATTTTAAAATAAAAATACATAATATAGACTAGCCTATAATAAAGTCAGAGTGGTTGTTGGTGAAAAAAACATGTACAACATTTTTATTTAAAACAAAATCCTCAAAATGTCTCATGTTCCTGCAGAACTTCACAAACACTTCCTGGTTTTGTTATATACAGTTTACAAGATCTGTATAAAAAATATTGGAGAATAATAACTCACTGAACTTTGCTTTTAACCCTTTAAAGGCCGATACATGAAATAATACTTCCTGATA